CCTCAAAAGACATTTCCATCCCATAGGCGTTTGAGTAAACAGCAGATTAATTAGGCCAGTTCTTTCCATTTTAATTAGTTTTACTCAAGCAGTTAAATAGCAGTGTTGATATCAACTGTAATTTTAGTGGCTGATTTTTATTAATAAATGGACACAGTTCATGAATTGTCTTTAAACTAACCAGCTGATTGGCTATTTATTAGTTGGTGTGGTAGGAGACTGTCACCACAGATTGCCTTCTCCATTTAAATCCTTACCTTCAAAGCTTATTCTCTTTTTAAATTGGTAACCTCAAAGTCTGCATTTCTCGTTCATTTATGATAATAGTAATCATCAAAACGTCTCAAAGTGCTTCACAGGATTTTGTAGTGACTGTGGATTTTGTAAGCGAATGTGGCAGCCAATTTGAGCACAGCAGTGTTTCACAAATAGCCATGAAGTGAATGGCCAATTTTATCTGGAGGATTGTTGTTGTTGACCAGGATACTGGGAGAAATTGCCTTCTCTGGGAAAAGGGGGGCGGAGTGAAGAAAACAGCAGCACAAATGTCATAGAAAAAGCACCTTGGGATGCAAAGTGTGTTTTCTTTACGGAACCCCACGTATATTACATCAACCCGTGAGACCTCAGCTCCAGCCAGAATTTGCCGATCTACCATGGGTCAGTTTGACATACAGTATATGCAAACTTTAGGATCTAAGGTACTTTTTCTGGCATTCAGCGACATTTGCAAGGTCTTTTTCTCCACAAGTTCTTTTGCAAACCCTGTGCAAAGCTTTCCAGTATATAAACAAGATTTGTATTCAGTATTTTGCAGCCAATATTAGACATCAGCGGAAGATGATGTTCCCCACTGTGTGTTCCAAATGCTAATTTGTTCATTATTCACAGAAAATAGTCAGTTTAATATCATTCTCCATAAGCTACAAACTAAGTCATTATAATTCTCTTTGCTGGCCCATCCTGAGTTATTTTTGTTAACGCAGCACAATAACTCTGAGTCAGTTATGTGCAGTGCACTACTTAGTTGTACGCACAGTCTTTATGGTGCATGTAAGAGAAGCAGACAGTGAGACCTCCAAAATGAAATTGCTACTCCAGCTATGTGATACTCTCAGAACAGAACAGTTGTGTGTGCTTGCCATTTGGAAATGTCACGCAGTGTAGGGCAGTAAGGCTATGTAGTATGAGTAGCACAGAGCACTATGTACACTGTACATACTTAAGAGGCAAAGAAAATGCTACCAGATGCAAAGTGCCCAGAAATGTTCCATTCATGGCACTGCTGACCTTCACCCAAATAGAAGAAGATAACAAATATTTGTCCTATCAGTTCATGATGCTGACTCTAAAGATTGAGTCCAATGGTTCTGAACACCAGATAATCAAGCTCACAGAAAACAATTTAGTTTAATGATTTGTTAACAGTATTTCAAATGTATAGAAAAGGTATAGTTACCTAATCCAGAGAACAAGAGCTGCAGTTGCTTGAGCGCTTTTATTTTCCTAGGTCTGTTCTCAAACAGCAGCTATTCTGAGCTTTATTTATGCCCAACTTGTTTACTACATTCATAACTTACCACTCATTCAATCATAACTGCAAGGCCACCTAGTTATCATACACAGGCACTGTTTCTTTGTCTTACTTCTGCATACCAAGACCATCTGGTTACACATCCCCTTTCTACATAACTGCACCAGACAAAAGCAAGGACACTAGATAAGGAAAAGAAACATTACTCATTTCTAGCAAGGTTACAAAAGTTATACAAGTAAAATCATCAACAAAATTTCACAGCAGTACAATGTTCAGTAGTTTTCTATCATAGGCAAAATGCATAGCAAAACAACAGCATAATGTTCCACTTAACAAGGTTCGATTTGTTACAGTCCCCCACACCTTGATACTCCAATTCATTGATGGTATCACACTTAATGTCCTACGTCTTTGTACCACCAGATGTGTGTCCACAGGGCTCCTATTTGCCCTTGTTGTTGCATCACATTGTACAAACATTGTTTGCATATAACATGAGGATAAATTGTACGCATTAATATGCCTAAAATAGATAACAAAGCCTCAAAACTTAATTTGCCATGTGATAAAGTGAAGCGAAGATCACCATTGGTTGTTGTGCCATTGCACAGCAGATAATACTGTAATCTATAGACTAGTTTTGTGGAGTTGTCCTGAAAATATTCAGTAGTGTATCGTTAAATCTGGAAGGGGAGGGAAATATTCAACAAATTGTTTTCTGCACATCAGGTTGGGAATTTTTTTTATACACATCTCACACATGAAATAGGGTTAACGTAACAAGCTTGGTTCAGATAAAGAAGGCCCTTCAGCTCAATTGATGTCATCCTGTTAAACTACCAGAGTTAAGACTGGCAGAGATCTGTGATTAAATGTCCCTGAACTCATATTGAAGCTTGTGCGTCTAAAAGGCAAGTTCAGACAGTCTCAATCACACTATCTGTGGAAAGCAGGAAAAGGCTTTCAGAACTTGTTTCAGATGCTGAACTAGCTCCTAGTACCTCAGTTTGCAGGCAATTTTCAGAGCTTCGAAAGGAGAGTAGTTTCATTCAGAAAAATATGGTAATGCCCAATAATATCAGTTGTGAAAAATGCTTGGTCAATGCTCTGAAAGCCAGCCAGATCTCAAATAACCATGTTTCCTGCATATTCAGTGACACATGGCACCACTTTTAAGCATAAGGAAACACAGACAGAGAGTTGTGATGCTTGTGCAGTTAGTAAGATCTTAAAACTGTGGTTGTCTTACTCGGCTACAGGTTTGCCAAGAGCAGCGAAAACAGGTGGCAGCCAAGAAAGACTTCCAGTTAATATTCTGCCCTTCAGGTCTCCAGCGTGTAAATGGAATACAGCATCCAGTAGTGAATGCTATTCCAATGGCTGACAAAGCAATAACCTTAAATCCAATTAACTTTCCCTTTCCTTAAACGTGCTTGTGTACTTTATACCCAACTACAAAGTTCTAACCAATTTTTGGAATGATTTTAATCAACTTATAAATGAGCGTATTGCGATAGTGTATACTGATAGTCAAATGGCATAAAAAAAATCAAATTAATCAATGATTTGGTTCTGTTGAAATCGAGTATAATGTAGAAAATGCTGGTGAAAGGTGCCACACACATTATCAAATGTAACCATCTTTTTATAAAGCTGAGGTGAATACTTCAGATTGAATTTCATAAGGCAGAAATGTTCCTGTAGTCTGTGTAAGATGCTGTGTCTGCGTCTTTAAGGAAATGTTAGTGTGACTATCTGTACATGTTGGTGTGCATTGTTTTGTTGTTCTCTGTATCTCTGTATGTCCATTTTATCAATAAATTGATATGTACCATATCTTCATATTTTGGTTACTTGTATCATTATTTTTTGCTGTCTTTTGTCTTTCTCTCCCTCCTTTATTGTGCTGTGAGTTTACATTACAGTTTAATTTCCTTATTTTCAATAAGTAACTGAACACCATCAAAACTGTCTGGATAACACTGTCTTTTCAGGAAAGTTACAATTTAAAGCAGCAGTGTTCTGTCTCATTGACTTATAGCTAAACATAACATTCCTCTACTGCAATTTGTAAATCACTCTTTTAGTAATGTTGTACTGTATTACACATATAACACAATAGAAATATTTTACTATGCTAGTTGCTTACTATCTATGCCAGTACTTACTGACAAGATTCTTGGAAAAAATATTCTACGCAAAGTTACAAAGCACTTGCAGTGAAGCTAGTGTTGGTTATTATGTTTGATAGAATACAATATTTTAGAAGCATTTCTAATGCTATATCTTCCATCTCGAAATGAATTTTTACAGAAACTCCTACAATTATTTAAAGATAAAATGATGTTAAAACACTTTCCTCTGAAGTCGACACTTGGCAAAAATTGGGTTGATCTCAAAGTATGGAGGTGTTTGAATAGAGCCTAAGTAAACCCATTGTAAGGGACACTGTCGCTTTAATACTGTTTCTTGAGTGTCACTATCTGTGTGTGTACTTGCACTATATGTTGAGCAGCCACTGTGTTAATGTGTTACAGACTCATCTGTTATGTTGATCAATTTAGGCAGGATACAAATTCAACGTTACAGAACACCCTGTTTTCAGCCTGGAGATCAAGATTAGTGGCATTGCTAAGGTTTTTTTTTAAAAAATCATACTACCATATTAGCTATAGTTTCTGATCTGGAAACTAAAATGCATAGCACTCCAACAGAATGTGGCTGTTTCAATGATAATCAGCAAGTTCTTTCTGTCAGTGCAATAGAGACATGTTTTTGCATTGTGCTGCTGCTCCAAAGACGCTGGTTCCCATTCACACATTAAGTTTTCTGTTGTGCTGACTGTCCTGGATCTATAGAGGAAAAGGCCAAGGCAAACACTTGATTCAAATGAATGGAAAGTGGAACCTCATTGCTTTCCAAAATCCTTCTGACACGACCTCCAGAAAACTGCCTGTAATATCCAGAACTAACGTAACTTGTATGATCAAAACAATCTTTCTGAAGGAATTTCTGAGTAGTTAATGGGAAAGCCAAAGCATTATTTGGTTTCTTGAACAGATTTGAATTTGACAAACTTAGGCCTGAAATTCCATTTCGTCTGTAAGATTATGCAGAATTGAGGAAAATCCTTAAATTCAGGTTCGATTTGAAAGCCGATCCCCACCCCACCCACCCCAAAATGAATTGATTCCCAGATTTTGTCTTAATGTAAGAATTTTCCATAATTTTGCAAAATCTTAAATTTTAAGACAAAATGGTGTACAGGCCACTACTGGTGGAATTTCAAACCTCTTAATCTTTAAGTAAAGAGTCTAGAGAGGTTTAAAAAAAAGTCTATGGTTCTAATCGTTTGGCCTCTGTGATTTTCTGATTTAGTAGTGCCATACAGGATATCATTTAAAACCTGTTCAGCTAATTCACAATATAACTTAAGACCTGTTTTTTTTATTTACATATTTAGATCTCTGTCTGGACGTATTGTTGGAGGAGTCTGGTGGTTCTTCACTCTGATTATAATTTCCTCCTACACGGCCAATCTCGCTGCCTTCTTGACTGTAGAGCGAATGGTCTCTCCTATCGAAAGTGCTGAAGATCTTTCAAAGCAAACAGAGATTGCCTATGGAACACTGGACTCGGGTTCGACAAAAGAATTTTTCAGGGTAAGTCTTCCTTTTATTTGGTAATCCTATCACCATGCATAAGACTATGCAAAACCAGACTGAAAGTTCCACACACGAATGCCACCTACACATAGATTCCATTCTCTCTGTGTCTAGAATTGAATGCTCACTCTCTCCTGGAAGGATGCATCCTGCTTACTGAATTCCAGACCAGACTAGGCCCAGTTTGACAAGAGCCAATGCTTGAGGTCCCCAGAATGTGGCTGGAGTTTCACCAGCTAAAACCGCATAGCTTGCCATTGAAAGTGTTGTCTTACCATTGAAAGATTGCCTGACAGCTTGCTGCTTGCTCCATTAACTTGGAGAGGAAGGGCAGATTACTGCTGGGACAAGTCACTCTCTTCGCACCCCCCCCCCACCCCCTGGAGGATAGAGAGTCTATTGACACATCGACTCCCAGCTTCATCCATGGGTTCATTTCTGTATGTATGGGCATGACACCCAGCTTGATCTCTCTGCCTCTTCCCTTGACTCGCAGACCACTGCTGTTCTGACCGATTTGCCTGTCAGACAACAAGTCCTAGAAGAGCTGTAATTTCCTTCAATTGAAAAGTCAATAAGACTGAGGTTCACATGGTTGTCTCTCATCAACACCTTCTCACCTCCGGCACTCACCGCATCGACCTGCACAGATGCTCACTCCATCTCATGGAGCTGGTGCAGAATCTCGCTGATTTGTTGATCTCAAACCATCTTTCAAGCCCTACACCCATTCATCTTTCCTTCACCTCTACAACATTGCTTGTATCTGTCACTACCTCTCCTCCCAGGCTGCCGAGACCCTCATTAATGCTTTCATCATGTCCAGGTTTGAATATTCTGACACGCCCATTACTGACTTCCCAGCTCCTCCCTCCACAGGCTGCAGATTATTCAGAACTCTGCAGTTCACGTCCTCGAGCAAGGGAGAAGGTGTACAAATTGAGAAAGTGAAATGAAGCCAATGATCGACAATAAGGCCCCATGTTCTCTACGTTTGATGGATGTTCTTTTTCAGAGATCCAAAATAGCAGTTTATGAGAAAATGTGGGCCTACATGAAATCAGCAGAACCATCTGTCTTCACCAAAACCACTGCCGAGGGTGTGGCACGGGTCCGTAAATCCAAGGGCAAGTTCGCATTCCTCCTGGAGTCCACCATGAATGAGTATATCGAGCAGAGGAAGCCATGTGACACAATGAAAGTAGGAGGCAACCTGGATTCCAAAGGATATGGAGTGGCAACACCTAAGAGCTCCCCATTAAGGTGGGTGGGATAGTATAACAATATATCATTGCGTTGTTATAGTATTCCACCTTCCCTGATGCCTTTTTTTGTATCTTTTATTTTGTGTCAACATGGTATGTCCGAGATTTCATTTCATAAGTTCGAACATGCAGGTAAACGTTAACAAATATAGTAACATTGAAAACTGCTGTGAGGGCTATGGGAAGCAAACCAATTCCATTTTGTTATCAGTTGTCTCTACAATACAGTACTTCTGCTTCCACAATGGAATTGCACACAGAGTTTGGTGCAAGTTCAGAGAATTGTGCATTAAACTTTTAACCTTTAAATGTATTGAGTAAAGCAAAAATAAACACAAGGAAGGCCTGATGGTGAGTTTAAAGTTAAACTGCTGACTATTATGTTTTAGGAATATCCAATTTAAGGCATGCAACATTTTGGGGCAGTTATGTTTTGTAGCTCCTACCCGTCTAATTCAGAAATAGTCAATCATATATAAGTTCTAATGAAAGCCAACCCCAATCAAATGTCCTATGTTTTAGAGTGGAATTTATGGAACAGTAGACATTTCAGAAAGAGAAAGAAACCATTCATGCTATTGCCATGCTAGCTCCCTGCTTGAGCTAACCACTTTAACTCCACATCCTTGCTCTTTATCTAAACCCTCTTTATATCTTATTCTTGAATGGTTATCTGATTTCCTTTTAAATGCTGTGATTGACTCAGCTTCAAGAGATACTAGTGGTTCCACATCTTAGTAACTCTTAGAGTCAGCAAGCTCCGAAATCCTAACTTAGCTATCTGCTGCAAGTCAATTCTTTGTATTCTAATTTTTGTCATTTCTTTTTATTTCTTCCCTTCTAATTGAGATTGTTTTTCTAAATCAAAAGAAAATTAATAAGGTTTAAGATGTCTCACCCTGTTAATTCTGGAGAATACAGAAAGCACGGGTGGGATTGTACCAGGATAATAATAATTATTATTTTTCACCCACAAATATATACAGTCAATCCATTTTACAGTATATTCTGTGAAGCACTTTGAGACGTCTAGAAGACGTCAAATGCAAGGATTATTATTATTATAATATGTCGGGAGGATATCTTGAGATGGACAGTTCAGAGTTTTTCTGAAGCCTAATACATGTTCCAACAAAGATAGTTCAACAAATACTAGTTAATTCTACAGTATATTTAGTCTGAGTAAAGGAATATAAGGTGGGTTTTCTCTATTGCCACCCAACTTTAGTTAGAATATTTCCCAATTATTCAGATGTAGGCTTTACCATTGTTGCTTTTACAAGGTCTATAAAATAGTGTCTGCTATTCTGTATTTCAATTTATACAGAGAATTATTTTGCAGATATAGTATGCATATTCCCACAGTTCAAAAATAGATTAATTAATCAGAGTTACCAGACTTTTGTTGCACTGGAACGAATATTAGACATTGCTTTATATCAATGCCTAATAAGTGTGTGATAGCAGTGTATTTTTTATAATAGTATTTGAGTAATTTTGTAATTTGGTGTATTATTGTGATGTCAAAAGCATTTTTCTCCACCAATTTTTTCCCGGTACTACTCTTCCCACAGGGGTTTGACTCGATTTTCTTTCTATTAATGTACACTTCCTGGCAAGCAAACAGCATCAGTAACCCTGGCTGATCTTCCCCTCCCCAGGCCAGGCTTGTTGAAGCCAATTATTATGCCTTATCAGTTCCCCTTGCTGAATTCAGGCAATTCAGTGCAGACCAAAAATTGAACCAGCAATCTGTATGGCTCAGTGCAGCACCAAACGATGCTTTTACCCACTAGCCCTTCAGGAAAGTTCTACTCTACACAACTTTTAAAACTGCAATGGCCTGGCCAGGGCAGCTAAGCCTTAACATTTCTGCATTTACCCTGCAGCACAATAAACCCAAAGACACATTTTTTGTCAGTTATGATTAAAGCATCATTTCAACATATCGCACCTTCACTTATCACTTTGTGGCTTCTGAACAAATGCAAGTTTGTCTTCAGGTCAAGTCCACAATCCCCATAGCAGTAGGTCTAACAACAACAACAACTTATACTTGTATAGCGCCCTTCACGTCGGAAAGACGTCCCAGGACTCTGGACAATCAGGGTATTGGGATTGTCTATTACATGCTTGGCACTCGGCTGACTACTCAGGGGAAAGGGGCAATCTTTAAAGTCAGTGGATGAAGGACATGCCGGACCTGGTGAAATTGTGTTTATGGTTTTATTAGCAAAAGAGGAATACGTTGCAAATGGTTACTTTTAGATTGGGTTTGTTAGCAATACATGTTGCTACAATTATTATTCCGGATATTATAATATATAATATTAATATTATAATAGATTATTATTGTATTATTTTTGTTAGTATTATTAAGTAATGGAATATTATGATTCAGGGTATCATTTGATGTCTGCTTTACCACATTCGCTGACAGAGATGTGACATTGGACCACTTTAATAGGTTTGAAAAGAACGATTTGGCCAAATTACTCTTTAATTCTTTATCTGCAATTTTTTTTATTGTAGTCCTGACGACTTAGGGAACCTCGTTCAGCTGCAAATTGGACAGTAACTCAGGACAATCCAGGACAGTATTAGAATGTCACATTATTTGGTCAGAGGATATGCTAACCCTCTGAATCAAAAGGCAAAATGTATGGTTATTTATTGCATTTCTTTAACTTTCTGGTTTCTATTCAGTTATTCAAGAGCTTTGTTCCATATTGAGCAGTGGTTACTGCACCTTTTTCTAAATAACCCTCTCAGTGGACACAATGGTGATCCAACAAGAGTTGCTGCAGCAAAGTGTCTAAATGCATTGAATAGTTCATAGGAAGAGCTAATCAATACAATACAGCTGAAGGCAAAGATCCAAATGACAATGAGAGGGTCATTTAACATGGAACACAATAGGAGCCCGTTACTTGTCCTCGCCCATCTTCAATTTTTAATAGCTTTTCACTTTCTTACAAATATGTTTTATTGTTTCAAGAAATGCTGTTAACCTCGCAGTTTTAAAACTGAATGAACAAGGACTCTTGGACAAATTGAAAAACAAATGGTGGTACGACAAAGGAGAGTGTGGCAGCGGGGGAGGTGACTCCAAGGTTAGCCTCAATGTCACCACAAGTGGGTAACAGTGTACAAGTAACTGGCACGTCTGCTAAGAGTAATAAATGTGCTCCACAGTAAGTCTTATCATCCAGCAGCAGTTGAAACACCTTGAAGAAGCTTTCATTATTTTAACCGAGAATTGCAAGATGATAACGTAAGTACTGTCAAAAGAAGAAATCTTCGCCTTTTTTGATGAACAAAGCAATGCTTTGGGAAATTCTCCATGTAACTTTTGCTTTAGTAGTTCTCTAAGATGATGTAACTTAAACAACTTTTAAATTTTAAATGCTTCTTGCCAATATTTCTGGCTTTACAGTAAGTGCACTCACTATTATTCAAGTGAATACCTCCTAGCAGTATGTGCCTGTTACCTGAAGCGATACAGCAGGCCCCAGATTCATGTCTACTTCTATACTCAGGACTGATGCAGCATAACACCTGCTGGGGCTTTGCTTTATCACTTTGCAAATAAATTCTATGTGGGTTTTAATTGAATAACATAAAATAACATATATAATGTTATTTATGTTATTTTCCACGTGAAGAGTTCCCGTAAACCTTGCAGTTTTGAAACTCAGTGAGCAAGGCATCTTAGACAAGCTGAAAAACAAATGGTGGTACGATAAAGGTGAATGTGGAGCCAAGGACTCTGGAAGTAAGGTCAGTCACTGCAGTTTGGGACCTACTCTTATCTTCTCAGAACAGTTTAGGAGTTTAAATGCAGATCATTTTGTATAGATAGATATAACATGTAATATATTCATACATGTAATACATTACATAGCAGCATACAACACTAAATTTATAGTCTAGTAATGATACCTCATATTGTAAAATAGGTCACTGCTTAGTAAAGATCGGGACTCAGATTCACCATATTGGTGACTAATTGGGGGACACAGTATAAAATGCAGTGCTATAATTCTACCTGATTTTAATGACGCTTGTTTAAATATATGTAGTTCATATGATGACTAGTGCAGGATTCAATTTCTAAAACTTATCAGTGAATGTTACTGATTACAGTAGAATTGGATTAACAATTTAAAGAACAAAACATTACAAAATAAGATACTGAATAACTGACAGGGTTAAAGATATAATGCAAGATAGTTCCAAATGGAATGCCTTTTCCAGATTTCCTGACTCAAGTCATGACTTGTACTTGGAAATTGATTTGATTACTAAAAGAATCACTCAATTAAATAAAGCAGAGATTAACATATAATTCCTGTTTTCATATTATTTATTCCTGGAACTTTCCATATAATTTAGTAGATATTGCCACAAAATATATATTAAAATAGCTGAGAGACCCTGACTCATTTGAAATGAACTAATTTCATAAGTATCAGTAGGTATTGACTAGGAATTCAGTCCCATTAATTATTTTTAGCGCAGAGAGAATCTCAACAGGTACACACATTAAATTCCTTAATGTCCCTACAGGTAATATAGATTTATTGATTTGAGCAGTCAGTCCATTTTCCTTGCTTGTCTTCAGTCAAAGCCACCCCTACCAAGGACGTGAGTTTTCCGATAAGGAGCAATGACCATTCTCACCGGAGACTGGTTATCTTCAATAAGGAAGTCATTGCTAGTGCAGCCGGAATAAAGCACTATGTAATGCATAAGGGTAACAACATATTATCAGTCATTTCATTAATAAAAAATGAATTAGTGGAATGGAATTTGGGTAAAGATTCAATGTCTCCATTTCAACATTTTTTATTAATAAATAACGGTTAATATTTCTCTGGTACATCATAAACATCACTAATCCTTCATAGAATTATCATAACCGTTCATTACCTGTAAAAATAAATACATGCAAATTATAAAAAGGCAATTGTAATAGTCTACTGATAACATCTCACACCCCTTAAGCATTCTGACTAGGTAATGCGCCTAATTGCTATTTAGTATTCCTGCACAAAAAGAATGGCTGCCCTTCATTAAAAGAGCTTTGCAGAATACAATGCATGCCACAAAATGCCATGTCTCTGCTCATTTTGTGTTAGAATGCGCAGTCCATTCCAGACACAAGGAAATTCCCATGTGTAGATGGCAGACATATGTGGAACTCTGTCTGGTCTAAATATTCGTAAGCATAGCGATGGGATTAACGCGCGTGTCAGACACTTGACCAAATAAAATTGTCTAAGGACTTGCTTTGCAAACCCTTTTTTTTTAAAAAGGCTAATTTTGTCTTGCTACTTCTAACTCATGACAGTAACAACATATGCCGTAGAGCACTAAATGTCATTGTGTCACATAACATCCTTTTGAGAGAGTACTTCCACCTGCTGTGGAAAGGCCCCGTCCTCCTCCCCCTCCCCCCGCCCCGAGTCTTAATAGACTGATTCATTTCCCACAAATTGCAAGTTTCTTCATATCATCAATCTTTCATAATCAACAATGTATATTTTAAAGAATAAACGTGTTCTTACCATGTCCACTAAATCAGTATGTAAATTGTTCTCGCAATTAATCATTATTTGAGGTAGCATAATGGTAGTAAAATAGTTGCAATATGTTCTGAGCTATTTAGTTACAACATCTACATTGTATTGTACGTTGAATCTGTTTGTTGAAGAATTGTGACTTTTGTTTGCTGTAGCTGTAGCTTTTTAGCACATTTACTGTTTTGTCCTCTATATATTACTGAAATACTCTTTTCAGAAATCTAATCAGTTTGCCTTGTGTTTTCTTAGGACAAGACGAGCGCTTTGAGCCTCAGCAACGTGGCTGGAGTCTTCTATATTCTGGTCGGAGGCCTTGGTTTGGCAATGCTCGTGGCTTTGGTAGAATTCTGTTACAAGTCCAGAGCAGAGGCGAAGAGAATGAAGGTGGCAAAGAGTACAAAGAATTTTAATCCAAGTTCCTCGCAGAATACCCAGAATTTAGCAACATATAGAGAAGGTTACAACGTATATGGAACCGAAAGTGTTAAAATTTAGGGGTAGGACTTAGGGCCAAATATAGTGGGTGGTGCATCTTGTAATGAAGTGTTGGTGTTTGCTGTCCAGTGGAAATGCTTGCTTATATATTGAGCTGTGGCCATAAAAGAAAATATTAAGAGGATGTTATGGTGTTCTGCTGCTTATGCCTTAGTTAAAATTGACATTTTGGTGTTCATTGTGCTTTTGCTTATGACAGATTAGGAATATGCAGTAATTTTATTTTTTTCTTCTTGCAATCCAGCTGACTTTTTCAGAAGCCATGAGAAACAAAGCCAGATTATCCATTACTGGAAGTGTTGGAGAAAATGGCCGTGTATTAACTCCAGACTGCCCAAAGGCTGTGCACACCGTTCCTACCATTAGACAGAATCCAGGATTGGCTATAGTAGCATCGGATCTACCATAAAAACCAAATACTATCTGAGTGCCTTAAAACAAAAAGATACAAAGCAGTGTCGGGGACTAATGGTAAAACAGCACAGACTGTGAGATCATCGTGAGGTTCCTCGTTTAATGTGAAGAGAGAGTGGGAGAAGAGCTCCCTGAAAGGGATCATCATCAGGAAAAAGTGTGCATGAGCTTGGTTTCAAAACAGTCCAATTCTGATTTAACATCAGAAAACTTCTGTCAGGGTTGCAGAAAACATGAACAACACAACCGAAAACCTTTGCAGAGATATGTGCCAATAAAGGGATTCATTGCTAGTAGAAAGATATGAAGAACCCATCGCTAGAAGAAATTAAACTTGGCTTTTGTTTTGACGTACATTATGAAACAACAGACAATGAACCTATTAGCCTGCGTCTAAATTTCAGAATATCCATAGAGTAAAAGGGGAGCGAACCACTTATACTGGAAAAACAAATCACTCAACCACGGAGGAAAGTAATAAATATGTAAAATCTGTGAAAATATTACTGCAAATGTTATCTTTTCTTGTAAAAAAAATGTTTTTCTTTGAAAAGGAACAAAATAAAATGCTTGCTTTTTAACTAAAGTATGTTAATAAAAAAAATCAGTAGTGGAAAATAAAATTCTTTTTTAACCATTTAGGGAAGATTCCGTTGCAATAGAGGAAAATAAATGCCATCATCTTTAGTAAAATATAAAAACAAAAGACTTTTATAAGGAAGAAAATAACACATTATTGTCTTCTTGTTTGCTGTTTCCATTTCATTCATTACAAAATTATTGCATTGTTTGAGCTGCCAGTCTGCACCTGTCTAACTTCAAGGGGAATGTTAGTTTACACTTCAGTCTACAATGTATAGTCAAAACAAAGGCTACGGGTCAAACATGTTATAAATATTATTAACATTGTACTGTGTAAGAAATTGTGCTTTTTTGTACCCACTAAAATGAATAAAACAGAATAATTCTTATGATGTTTATTTGAATATCAAAATTTTAGTACTATTCGTACTCAAAGGGCATGTTTCAGAGACATGCTGGAAGTATGGAACTTTGCTTCATATTCGCTATTTGAAATTCTGTGACCAAATACTTAATATTTTTCAAGCAGTAACTTAGTACGTGCTTGTAAAATAATAATTTATTATAAAAAGGGGCCCATTTTGATTTGGTAATTGTTGTGATTTCAATGTGTCATTTCTTCTTCACTGTATATTATCCCATTTTTCTGATTTCCTTGTTCGTCCTATTGCATTGTCTTATTTTCTTTCATTCATTTCAGAATTTAGTTGCTCACTTTTTTCTCTTTCTTATAAACTGACATGGAATTGTTATTACAGGTTTCCATAAATTTATAAAATGGTAAGGAAATATATACAGTATATTTTTGGAGAATCCCTGTACTGGCTCACCCTATGAGCAACTAATTTAGAGGTTCAACACAAAGATTGTTATTAAATGAGGGAAGGAAAGGTAGAAGTGGGTTTGAATCCTGAAGATGATTCCATTTAGAACATGCCAGGGTAGGTCAATGGCAGATTTCTATAATTAAAGTGTCTCTATATACTATAGATATACAAACAAAATGTTAGAGCATACACCAAATCAGAGGAAAAGCAATCGAATGCAAACAAAAGTTACTATTTTTATGAAACTCATTGTTGGAAGGTATGGGATCACCCCAAAGGCATTTTTTTTTTAAACTTAACAGGAATGTGATCAAAAGATCTGTTTGACCATTCCTGAGTCTGAACTTTCAATGATTAAGAAGCCCGAGGTAACATTCCTTTTTTCATAAAATTCAGGAGTAAACAATGTTTAACAAAAGGTTAATGAAATTTTATTTACCAGTTCCTATCAGCCAGGCGTTCCCAAATCATATTGTAAGACATGAGGGTGTGTTAGCTCTTACAAAAATAAGGATGACACACTTACAATAATGAGCATGTCGAGCTTCTGAAGCAGATAATGAGCCAGTTGAGTGCTACAAAAATGTTTGCAATACTTGCCCTGTTAGGACTTACTCATTAGGGCTTTGGCTTGAGAACAAAGCTTCTGATGAACAGTGCCATGCACCATTGTGAGTCTACTAGGTTTCATGCGACATCTTTCCTTGGAACTAATTCAACCAGTTACCAAGTCCAGGAAGATATTTTTAGACACATAATTAATGTTATCAGCATTAAAAAGGAAAACTGCATGGATCTACCAAATCTCACGGTTGATGCTCAAAAAATTAAGCTTCTGTGACAATGTCTAATTCCTGCTACCGGAACAAGCCATCATCAAGCAAACGTGAAGCAGGTCTTTTGGGCTTCTCCTTCAGGCAAGTGACCACATCAACAACTTTTGCCCTTTATCCAGGTCCCTAGTAACAATGAGATGGAATTTTGATATTGGCAAACTGCATTGGATGAGCTAATTGCAACTTCTGCTTGCCAATATTGAAAGCAATTCATGATTCAGTCTGATCCAATTATAAGGCGATTTGCTATAGCAGGAGTTTACAGTTCAGTAGATCTTCCAATATAGTGAAATAAAAACAGTTCAAGAGAATGGCTGAAGCAGAATGGTCTTGAAGCAGAGTGGTGAAAGTTGGGTCTGTTGAGAGAGGACTGAGGAGATGTCAGGACAATTGTTAAAGAGTAATGGAGAGCGAGTTGATGCCTGTTTTTCGTGGAAAATGGGAGATTCTGATCTCTTCGAGTCCTGGGGTCAGCTACATATGTATGAAATGTGCTCAAGTGTGTGCCCTCAAGCTAAACGTTGTTGAGAAACAGCTGGGTGCTCTCTGTCATATATGGGAGACTAAGGTTTTCCTGGCCCACACGCTCCACAAGATGGCCATCCCACAGGCAGGTAGATAGCGAGGAAGGGAAGGGGGTGTGGTGGGAGGGGGCAGCAGAGCAGACAAGAAACAATGCAAGGATCTACTGGGGATGTTGTCCTAGCAAACATGTATCAAGCCAATTCTGTGCCATAGATCTCTATGGGTCCATTGGAATACCTGTGTCAAGGACAACCCCTCAGCAAAAAGCAACCATGAGTAATGCTATGAGACTGTGGAGTAATTATCATTAAGGGGGTGGGGGGAGAGTATAGATAAGGAATGCAGTGGTGATAAGGAGACTCCATCATGAGGAAATAGACAAACATTCCTGTAGCTAAAATTGTGAGTCTCGAATGGTCTTGTCTCCCAGGTGCCAGGTAGGGAGGGGCCAGGGCATGAATGATTTGAAAGTGAGAGTGGGAGTGAGGATCTTTAAATCGTTCTTTTCTGCAACAGGGAAATTGTGGTACTTGGCAACAACTGGGGTAATTGGGGTGCAGGTGACGACATAGGTTATGTATCATTTGGACCTCATTTATAGTGTAGCCAGGGAGATTGGCATGAAATGTGTTGGAAAAACTGGGAGGTGATGAAAGCATGAATGAGAGTTTCAGCAGCATTTGACGTAAGACAGGGGAAAAGGCAGGCGTTGTGGTGGAGATGGAGGAAACCAGTCAGGGAGCAATTGTGGGGTAGGAAGGATAACTGGGAAACGAACCTGACACCAAGGTTGCGTACAAGTTTGGTGAGTCTGATGAATAGAAAGGGGAGGTTAAGGAGTTCAACCCACAGGTGTGACGGGAGCCAAGGAGTATGGCTTTCATCTTGTCCATGTTCAGCTGCAGAAAGTTGACTGTCATCCAGCCCTTGATGTCAGACAAGCACATCGGTAAAACGGGTCGTGACAAGAAAAATAGATTTGTGTATCATCCACATACTTCTGGAAGTTGAATCTGGCTATAAATATAATTATGCACATCTGAAACAGTCTTCATAAAGGACAGTTTGATTTTTTAAAAGTCCAAAGCTACAGTATTTAACAGAAGGTATTACATTATTAGACTGGAGGGTGGTTAATGTAATTCTAATTTTGAATAAATTATAGGTCAATGGGCTTGACTTGCGTAGTGTCAAAATACATCAAAGTATTTCTATATATAGGATGATCATCTAGACTAGAATGCAGGCTGTCAAAAATAATCATTATGCAGTTTAAGAGCTGAGCAGTGTAATCATTCCTTTCTCCCTGGAATCCATTTCAAAGTACAACTATCATTTTATAGGAATAAATTGAATTATGTAAAATGAACATGAATGACAATGAATTAGAATCTTGCATTTTAAATCTTTAACAGTCTTTAAATATCTTCTCCCTTTGGTAGGGACTAAACACTCATTAATTTTCTTTTTCTTTTGCAGTATCTGCCCTTAACCATAACATAGCCACCATTCTCTTAAAGGGGCACTTATTAATAATAATCCTTGCATTTAATATGGTGGCTTTCATGTCAAGAGGATTCCTCTAAGCAATTCACAGGATGCACCGTAAAGTGTAAGGACCATGTACTTCATGGGTGAACATGGCAACCAGTTTGTGCACAGCAATGACCCACAAACAAATACGAGATGAATGACCAAATTTTTTGGGTAGGAGAGAAACTCCCTTCTCTTTTCAAATAGTCCATGAGATTTTTAACATTCATCTGAACAGGCAGACAGGACCTCAATTTAAAATCTCATCCAGAGGCCAGGACCTCTGACAAGGTTACGAGGAGACCTAATAGAGGTCTTCAAAATCATGAGGGGATTTGATAGGTTAGAAAGGGAAAAACTGTTTCCACTGGTGGGTGTGTCGGTGACTCGAGGTCACAGATTCAAAATAGTATCTAAAAGAAGCAGAGTGGAGGTGAGAAGAAATGTTTTCACGCAGCGAGTGGTTCGAATCTGGAACGCATTGCCTGAAAGTGTGGTTTGATTCGATAACTACTTTTAAAATCGCGGTGGATGGGTATTTGAGGAGGACGGGTTTGCAGGGTTATGGGGAAAGGGCTGGGGAGTAGAACTGACATTAATTGCTCTATTCAAAGAGCCGGCACAAACTCGATGGGCCGAATGGCCTCTTTTTGTGCTGTACAATTCTATGATTCTATGATAACACAGCACACTCCCCAGCATTGTACTGGAATGTCAGTCTGAAGTTTTAGAATTAAAAGTCCCAATGTGGGGCTGAAATACGAAACTTTCTGACACAGTCTAATCTTGTGATCTTAATCTGCAAGAGTGGGGGAGGATCACATACCTTCTCCCTCAGAGCAGTCAGAATTATGCTCAGCCAGGCCAAAAGTAGCAGTGAAGTCCGAATTTGTTGGTTCACAAGTTTTTCTCATAGGCATTCATCAGTCACACCAAGTGCTTTCATTCCACGTGCCCAACCATCAGCCCGCAGCTTAATAACATTGGGACTCCCTCCTGAATTGTGCAGTTTCATAATCAACTGAATCAAAGTTCTAGTAATAATCCTTGCATTTGACAAGGTGCCTGTAACATCTGGAGGTTGTATCAAAGCACTATACAGGATATACTGTAAAGTGCAGTGACTGCTCTCATTGAACAAAAAATAATTTTACAAACAAACACTTTTGCTTTAAAATACTAACTTTATTTTTTTTGGTAAGCTAGCCAAAAATCATTTTACTTGAAAGTAATTCTATTCTAAAGTAACAGTCTTATTAGTGAAAATACAAGAAAAGTATTTAACTGAACTAAGAACATTTTACACAAGCAGTAACCTACACTATTAAGTGGTAACATTAGGGATTGATGTGTATGGTTGTGCTTATAATAGCTAATGGAACTCAGGTGTTGTGCATCGATAAGAGAAAATTGATAAGAAAAAAGCAGTTGTTCAGAGTAAATTACCTGCAAATTTCACATGTGATTAGGAAGTAGAAAAGTAAGCGACATCGAAGCTTATTTAAATTCACAGTGTTCTTGGAAATATACTGGGCAGTCAAACTTGTTAGAAGTATCAAGCTGGAATTCAAGGATATAGAAACTACAAGTAGCTTCCTTTTAGAAAAATATGTGCAAAAAAAATAAAATCATTGGTTTCCAACACGAAACAAACATTGTCCTTACTATAATTTATAAAGATTGATACAGTTTACAAAAAGTCTGCTTCATAATGCATTAGAATATCCTCACTGGTTCATGAAAGTAGTCACATATACACACTGGTTTACAGCCAAATGCAATGCTCCTGCTGGCCATTGCCGTTTTCAATAAGGCAACTGCCCAATTGTTCAGCGGCAGCAACATGACCTATGTTAATTTGTAAATAGCAATTTCTGGCTTCCAGTAATTAGCAATTTCTGGCTTTTAAAATAGCAATTTCTGGTAGAGATTGTAGTTTGGGGAGGAAAAAGTTGCCTTTTAACAACACTAAATATTTATGAACACTACGTCTAAAATTTTCTTAGTTGAGGCAATAGTACCCAGAGGTTGTCTGAATTAGTGAATCTATTTTTCCATACATTTCTCATGGATCAGAAATAGAAATGTAGTGCGCCTTCATAAAACAACCGTTAATTCACAGTATACATGATACACAGTCTAATAATCAGTTTATATTTTTTGTTTTTTGTATTTAATGCAGCTCTTAAAAAGCCAGACAGTATACTTTTCTGGATCTGGACATAAACTGGTGCAAATAGATCAACTCTACTTGGTAAACAAACAGCCTGGCTGTCAAGTTATCCAAATGGTTGAAAGAATACCATTTTGCAGCCAGTAAAATTGGGTAAATTGTGGAGTCCAGTACTAGAAAAATTCTAAGCAAAATAATTCAAATACCTAGAACTGAAGTCAAAACTGATCCAGAAGCATTGACAGATGGGAGACTGTAACAGAAACACAGGAAAAGGCTGATCAGAACTTGACCTTGTATCACCTTAAATAAACATACTTTAACAACAATACTCGGCCACTGGTTGAAACCCATTGGTCTTGAATCCAGTGTTCTATGTTTTTAAAAATACTTTTGGATTGTGCAAATATAAAAAATACAACAAACAGTGAAACGGCAATAGGATTATTGATTACTTAAATATGACCAGTTCATATGATAATGGCTAGCAACAAATCCTTTAAAAAATTGAGTTAAAATATTCATGTAAACAAAAGTGAACATTAAAATTCACTAAAACTAGAGGTAGGTTTGTGTATTAAATCTGGAGACAGTTGTAAAAATGGAATCACAAATCACTCTGGATGGTGTTCGCTCACAGCATTGGACATAACAGAAATATCATGAAATACTAATCCACCATACTGCAATATTAAGGTTAATCAGATCATCCAACTATTCTAATCCTAATATTTACTTTGGGGATCAAAGAATTTCCACAAAATTAGAAACATGGATTAGAAAATACTGTAGAACAAAACTGACCAGAATTATTAAATTAAATGGTGTGAGTTAAAATTCAAGTATACTTCATGGATCAACAAATAGTAAAATCCCACTATATGCAACAGGTCATGACTAAGACAAAATTGCATATGAACTAGGCTTGCATATAACTTTAGGGCTAAATCCCTCAACAGGATTTATTATTATTATCTAGATAACTTAGAGAGAAAAGAGTGGTCATCTATATGGCTTCACATGTGTAGGCTGTACAGATTGAAAGTGTGATGGTTAAGAAAAAGTTGAATTTTTACTTGTCTAGTTTATTTACAAGCATCAACTAAAATTCTTGTCAATGAATTTATGATGGTCCAAAATTTAGTTTACAGCTAGCTCCCGTAATTCAAGAGCATATATAATACACGAGAAATAACACTAACTCATCCTGTACAGTGTAGACAATGATCACCAAGACTCAACTATTATCTGCTGCCATTTCTATGATTACCTGGAAGATGGAAACAAAAGTGAAATTTGTTGAAATTTTACTGTCATTCATACTAAGTGAGATTTAAGTCACTAAATTAATTAGATAACCTTATTTCTGCCACTGCAGTATAAACTTTGAATATTTAAATGTAAAACTAAAACTAGTCAACAGCATATGAGTCTGAGATGACATTTGTATACAGATAGGGCTACCACAACTGTACTTGGAACTGTATTGTATTTCTGGCAAATGGAAATGCAAAGCAATGCTGTGACCATTACCAAAGTCTATAAACAACTATTGTCACCTGTAATTCTCACTTGTGTAAACAGGAACAGGGACTAGTGCAGACAAAACCTGAATACCATTTCAAGGTGCTAATTCACTTCTGTAAATTGACAACTGTGGGCACAAGAAAGGTTTAGTAATGTCACCAGATGGTATGGAGTAATGTTAACTGAATATGCCACCATAATTAAAAGAGTGACTATTATTCAGTAAATCTCCCTCAAGAAAATAAAATTATTGTCACAAAGAATTATTTACTTTGTTAGAAATAATTTATCTTCCATCATTAACAGAGGCATACTTCATGCAATAGGTTTGTTACTATTTTATTTTGAAATGTTAAGTTTTTGGGTACTGGATTTGAATCTAGCCAGAGAAGATAGTCTTTACTTGGTGACAGCTATTAAAATTGCTCAGTGAAATTAATTCACAGAGCTGGAAGATATGCCTCTGAAAAATAACACATTAGGAATGTAAAATGTTTTTCCGCCTAACAATATGTGTTAGAGTCCTGTAGCTCAGTAGTTAGAGCACTTGCCTTGCAAGTGAGACACCCGGTTCAATTCCAGGCAGGGCGAAACCTTGGGGAAGTTTCCTTACTCCACACGCCTAATAATAATCCCTCCAAAAACAAAAACAATAATAAATTGATCATTTCAATCCACGATTGTTTGTGGGACACTGCTGTGTGCAATTGGCTGCTGCGTTTCGCCCACAAATATACAGTCAATTCACTTTACAGCATATTCTGTGAAGTGCTTTGAGACGTCTAGAAGACGTGAAAAGCGCTACATCAAATGCAAGAATTATTATTATTATTACTACTGGTGGGTAAGTGGCCAACAAGATCTAAATGAACAGCTACAAGTACCAATTTAAAAATCTAATTCCACTGATCAAAACTGTTAAAACAGAGATATAATGCTTAGAATTTTGTTTTTTTGTTAATACAATGTCCTTTCAGATATTGATTACCAAACGTTTTTGCAGACTAAAAACATTAGTCATTAAGTTAAATAAACACCCTTTCTTCTAACAGTTTTCAGATAAATAGTACATTGCTAAAGGTCAAACCTATATTATCTATTTTTATAGCTTATGCAGCAATATCAGGCTGAATATTTTTTGAATTTGACAGTTAAAAATAGTTAGTCTGTCTATATAGAAATATTCACAGTAGTAAAGAAATGTGATCGTAACCAAAAACTGCAAAGTTTAGACAACCTGCTGAAAATCACTGATTAAAAATATATAAATTGCATTCATAAATTGTAGGAAAGTCATTCATAAGCCTTACATATTACATGCTGATACACTTTGAAACTAAGATCAATTTAGTGTGGGTTAGTCTCAATTTTTTAAAAATCAAGTTATGTTCTTAAACAGTTGAAAGGAATCATTGCCTTTGGCAACCTTTTTGCAACTGCAAATGTTCTCGTTCAATCTGGAGCCGTTCTTTCTCTATCTGCAGCTTTTCATTCTCAATATTTAAAAACTGCAATCTCTCCTTTTCTAGTTGCAAACGCTCTCTTTCTAGCTTCAGCTTTTCTGTTTCAATGTTCACAGGTGTAAAATTTTGCATTTCATTCTGCAAAGGACATTCCTTCTCTGGTCGTGGTTTGCTTGTCTGCTTGGACAAAAGCTTGAGTTTCTCTCTTTTGATGTGCAACCTCTCTTTCTCTAGCTGCAAGCGTTCCTTTTCCAACTGCAGTCTCTCATTTTCAATATCTAGATGATGCAACCTTTCTTTCTCAATCTGCAAACGCTCTTTCTCAACCTGGAGTCTTTCCAATTCGATGTCTAAGCGCCGTCTCTCCAGCTCTAGACGCTGTTTCTCTATAGACAAAAGTGCATGTGAATCGCCATTCTGCAGTGTAGCCTGTTCGGAGTTTGAAGATTCTCTTTCAACCTCTGAAAAATTGTCAGGATCTTCGGCCACTCCAGTTATAAGCTGCCCAGCAAATACACTAAACTCTCTTTCTGTATTGCTGTCCTGTTAAAAAAATAAAATGGCAGTCATAATCAAAACTTAAAATGTATAGCCATGAAATGCTGTAAATACTTTAACATGCTATAAATTACTGTGATATGCCACATAAACTCATGCCTAGTGGGCTAGCTCCAGGCTATTTTTTTATTTCAGTACTGCACTGCATTGATCAAAGTTCAAATTTACAAAAATAACCTGAAAGTTACAATTGATCGTTGATCTTGCAAACTGGATAATATTCTCAAAATATTACAAAAGGTGCTAGATCTTCTGCATGGCGATTTCATTACATGTTCTCGGTCCATTTGGTTAGTTAATGTCTAAAAGAATCACAACAACCTTTGCTTTCAAACATGCATTTCAACAAGACATTTTGCCAGATGACACATGATTCAAAAGAAAATGCAATAATATCGCTTGTCGGTTATCCACATCAGGATTTAATGCAGAAGTGAACTTGAATAATTTTGCAAAAACAGCAAAAAAAGTGTGGTTGCTCTTATGCAAGGGTGAGACCTAGGATCCCAATTGTCCCTCACAACACAATGTTAAGTGATTCCCAATCTGTTAAAGGTACAGTGTAGGGTTAAAAGCAGGGAGAGAGTCAAAGAAAAAGATAAAAGTCAGATAGTGCAAGAGACAGAGAAAATTAGAGAGAAACTGGTTAGAGACTCAGAGACAGAAAGTTAGTATTAGACCCGAAAAAGACAGATGAAGGGAAAACCAGGTTGAATGAAAGACAGGGAGATAGATAAGCTTTACTTTTTTGTGAAGTGTAGTGACAGTGTATTTGTACATTAATGCGGCAGCCAGTTTGTACACAGTAACATCCCAGAAACAGCCATGAAGTAAATGACCAATTTTTATCTGGAGTATCGGCCAGAATACCAGGAGGAACTTCTTTTGCTTTTCAAATAGGAATAAAGATTTTAATATCCACATGAATAGGTAAGCAGGACATCATCAACTTAATGTTTCACCTGAACAATGACAACATAGCACTTTTCCAGCTTTAATAATAATAAAATAATAATATAAGCTCAAAATCCCAAAGCGGGGCTTGAACCAACAACCTTCTGAGTCAAGTGCTGTCAAGTGAACCAGGCCTCCACCTGCCACAACACACTTCAGTTCAATTCAAAGTAGAGTTGAATGGAGACTACCAAAAATTATATACCTTTGTCTAGTAAGTTGCTTTGTTCTAAAGTTGTAACTCAAAACCCACCCTATTTAGCTGCTGACAGTACTTCATCAATGGCTAAGAAAGATCCATACTGGGCTGCAATCATAACATTGCTTTGCTGGCCTGGTCAAGGTGGACATTGGGGCTTTATTCATTCAGCCTGGTAGTGGCTGATATTGTCATGATATCGCTGCTAAGCTGCAACTGAAATCATGCATTGGTACACATGGGCAATTTGGCAGCAGCAGTAAACACCTTGATGCTATGCTGCAAGGCCTATGCACACGTCATCTGCTATCCTCTATTGGAACATTTTATTTGGCAAAAGAAGCCACTTTTGAAGACAAAAGCAAATCTGTGATGCGATGATGTGACTGTATTACTGACCGTGTTTATTCTTTTGACCCTCTTTAACTGTAAAGATAATGGACAGTGGCTTTTCCAGAACAGTACGTGTTCTCTACTCCTCACCCTTATTGTGGTACACTAACCTGTAATACAATCAGGCCAAATGATATCTGTGGCTACAATATTTTGCAACATGTATGAAATTTTTAAATGCATGTTGTATTCAATTATCAAACAAAAGTATACCTGCATCTAAAACCATTAATATACAGATTTTTTTTTTTAAAAATTGTTTTTTCAAAGAAAATGATAATTCAAGTAAAATTAACAATTATTATTTATACTACCCGGAATTAATATTATTTAGATAACTGAAGAAGTGAATATAATTAATTAGCAGTTACATAGACCTGCCTGAAATCCATCAAAACACTAATTAGTAACAACTGAAATTGAATTTCAAATGATACAGCACATAAAAATTCCACAAGATGAAATCAATGCTACTGAATATGAATGAGCACACAATCAGTTTTTTTTCTGGGTCAGCCAGATGGCATATACAGAAACATATCACCTATACATTTCACCAATTGGAAGTTCCCAAGCTATTTATTAGAATGGAATGCACACTCTCTCCCTGGAGGGACGCATCCTGCTCAACTAATTCCAGAGAGTATTAGGTACAGGTTGGCAAGAGCCAAGGCTTAGAGACCCCAGAGTGTGTCGGGATACTGTTCTAACTCTAACCAGCTAAAACCACATAGCTTGCCATTCAATGATGCACTGTCTATCAAGCTTTAGACCTTACCTACCCTTTAGGGCTTTGGCCTGCAGGGTTAGCGGGAGCTGAGTGGGAACTATCACTGCCTCTCAAAGTCCTACTGGTCAGCCAGGCTGGCTGGGCAGTCATCAGCAGTGCCCTGGCATACTGCAGGCCTGGGTGGCTCACAAACTTGACTACTAAGACCTCCACAAAGGTTTAGCTCAATCTAACATTTGTTGCCAAACAATTCAGCTCCACGGAGACCCCGCTTACCTCTCCACCAAGGAGGAAAATCAATCTGAGGTTATTTGACATCTGACAAGTGCAGGTTTGAGCCCTCATTAAGTGGATGGCATGTAACTGACAAATTTCAATATTTATGCATTTATAGTACTAACTTGCTCTCAGTTAATATTCAGATTGTGCTATAAAATGTGTTAGTATTTTGTTAGCTTCTCAATTCATTGACATTTGTTCTCTCCAGCATATTGTAAATAATAATAATCCTTGCGAGGCTGTAACCACTGAAACCACTACACTGAAACCATTAAGTATAGTGAATCATTTCTGTAGTGCTATCTAGGTTTATCTGTTATAGTAAAATGCTTTTCAGGCATTAAACACATTTTACAAAACACACTATTACCCTCTGAAACAATTAATTATCATAAACTTCAAACCTCTTCTTTCCTTTCCTTCTTTCAACTGATACAAACCCAAACAGCAACATTTTTACCTGCAGCACTTATTTCTTACTCAGTTCTAAAATGAAGACACCGTTAGGTGGTAGCACTGGGAAAATAATTTACAACCACGTTGACTTCATTTATAAACAGCCGCATTGTTTACTCAGTAAATGCAGTTCAAATCGGTACGATGACACTCCAATATTTTTCTTGCCCGGTTTGAAAAACTCCGGAAAATGAGCTTTTATGGTCCCAACCCAGTTCCCCCCATGTTGACAGCACTTTATAAAAGCTAATAGCTGTTATTGAAAAAAAACATTTTTAGAAAGTTATTTTCTCCCCTTCCAGACTCTCACAAAAGAAATTTAAGGCAACAAGCTAACATAGGCTGAAAGAAACGTATTTTCTTTAAATAAGGTGAACAAAATCGAAATCTCACAACGATGTTGAGCATCAAACAAAACATGATATTCTATCAGGGAAAATCACATTTTAGATTTACAACACTAAAGATGGCAAAAGAGTGAGATTCACTCAGCCAGAAGCTTCAAATACAATTGTGGTGTACCTAGCTGGCTAGGATGAGCTAACTCACTGCAGAAGATCAAATCCCAGACCTCCTGAGTCTGGATGGCTCAGTTTTAATAATCAAATCTTTGGATTATTGCAAGTAATAATTGAGCAGAGAGCCCAGCAGTGTGAGGAGGGAACTGAGTGAGGTGGAATAGTGAGAATTCTGTTAAGGAATTTGGTGAGAGTGGGAATTCTTGAGAGCTACTAGACAGCAAGAAAGAACTCTCTCATTCAGCAGAAGAGTGGGAAACCTTTCTTGAGGTAGAGGCAACCTTATCGTAAGCAGGCAAACAAGTCAATTAGCAGTTAATCATAGGCCAAGTGTTGGGGATTAAAAAAAAACCTTGAAACTGGTGCTTTTGTTTGAGTCCTATATAAAAGAGAAAACTTGCAAGAGCCTCACTTGAACAGAGAGCCCAGCAGTGTGAGGAGGGAATTTGGTGAGAGTAGTGGAACAGAGTGTGAATTCTGTTAAGGAATGTGGTGAAAGTGGGAATTTGGTGCACAGGGGGATGAGCTACATAATTATAAAATATATAAGTTGTATTAAAATAATATAAAACCTGTCTGGAAATACAGCAGGGCAGCTGAGACTGGTTGCATGCACAATGCTCAGAGTTTTTGAGCTTGAGGAGAGGCTGGTGTTATACATAGCATACAGGAGGCTGAAGAGTTCATGGATTGAATGTTTCAGGAGGTGGTCATCCCACAGCCACAGAGGTTCAGAAGGAGAGAGTGGGTGACCACTTGGCATAGTAGGAAGAGGGGAAGGGTCACAAACTGGTTCTCTGTACTGAATTATTGGTCAGGGTGATGACACCTCTGGGGAGGGGAGTTGAAACAAATGGATGCACAGGGGGACACAGTGTTGATGCAATTGTCATTGGGGACACAACGGTGAAAGAAGTAGACAAGTGTTTCTGCACCCAAGGATGTGACTCTTGCATGGTATGTTGCCTCCCTAGTGCCAGGGTTGAAGACATCACGGAACAGGTACAAAATGTTCTACAGGGGGAAGGGGAGCATCCAGAAGTTGTGTCCATGCTGGGATCCATGACCGTAGGGAAAAAAAGGCCTGAGATCCTACAGGGAGAATATCGGAAGCTAGTGAAAAAGCTATAGAGTAGGACCTTAAAGGTGGTGATCTCTGGATTACTCCCAGTGCCTTGTGCAAGTGAGTATCAAAACAGCACGATCAAACACATGAATGCATAGCTTGAGAAATGGTGCAGAAAGGAGGGCTTCAGGTTTCTGAATCATTGGGACTAGTTCTGGGGCAGGTGGGACCTGTACAAGGTGGATGGATTACACCTGAACAGGGCTGAGATCAATGTCCTTGCAGGGAGGTTAACTAGAACTGTGGGGAAGGGTTTAAACTAATTCATGGGGGGGGAGGGAACCAGGATGTAGAATCAGAGAGGACAAACAAGTTACCTGGAGGACTGGGAGATGAATAGCAATGTAGTAAGGAGTAGTGCAGAAAAAGGAGGGTTTAGACAGGGGAGAAATGCAGAGCACTCAGTCGGTCTTGGAATGCATGTGCATAAATGCACGGAGTATGGCAAATAAGAATGGTGAGCTGCAGGCTCAAGTTGCCACATGGGGTTATGATGTAGTGGCAATAATGGAGACCTGGCTCAAATAAGGGCAGGATTGGAGGATGAATATTCCTGGCTATAATAAATGGAATCTTGTATAATGTATTCAGGAGGGACAGGGAAGGAAAAAAAAAAGAGGGGGGTGGCAATATTAAATTCATGGTTACAGCCCTGGAAAGGGACGATGTACTAGAGGGTCCAAAAACAGAATCTATTTGGTTAGAGTTAAGGAGCAGAAAAGATCCAAGCTGTTTGGATCTGGAATGCATTGCCTGAAAGTGTTGGAAGCTGGTTTGATAACAACTTAAGGAAGAAGTAGATAATTATTTGGGGAAGACAAGTTTTCAGGGCTATGGGGCGAGAGCGGGGGAGTGGGATTGAATTGGATAGCTCTTTTCAAAAAGCCAGCACAGACACGATGGGTCAAGTGGCCTCCTTCTGTGCTGTATAATTCTATGAAGTACTTCTTCCTAACAAACTTGACGGTACATTTGCCTGAAAACTTGGTTCACTTCTTCTAGATTGTTAAAATAATTATTGAACAGACCTCTATATTTTGTGGTTCCTCCTCCTCCTTATCATTGTCTTCTTCTACTTTAACCACATATAGTGGTCGGTTATGTTCCTCCACCAGTAATGAATTGTCAAACTTGCAAGATGTTTCACCATCCACTGCACTGTGGCTAAAACCATTTATTGAAAGAGGACTGTAGTCAGTCATCATCATTTCCATTCGGTCCAAGCATTCTCCCCTCTTCTTCAGATAACACTTTAAATCGGTATATTTCTTCTTTACTTCATACGCAGTACGCTGTTCACCGCCACTTGCAGCACTGACTTTTTCTGATATTTCCTTCCAAGCCATCCATTTTAACTCATTGGTTATTGCATCGTGATGTTGTGTATAAATGATATCTCGTCTCTGTTCCACTTCTTTCAGCAAGGTTTCAGTTTCCTTCATTGTAAAGTTACTTTTCCTTTTCCTCTTAAACTGTTTCATTCTAAAAAGAAATTGTAAAGCATAAACAAATTTTTTTCTTCCTTAAAACTTCAAATATCCTACACAGTTATATAAAAGTGAAACTAGAGAAAAATTGATTTAAAAACTCTGTAGAAACTTGATAATTCTGCAAAATGTTCAACAACTTTATGGTACGTAAATATTTTAAACGCTTGATTACTATAAGTGAAAGGAGCTGAAAATTATAGTGTTTATCTATGCTTTTCCAGTTCATAAAAAAATTCACCATTAGTGGTCCAAAATTCTAGAACTACCATAAAGATATGATTCTGCACTCTTCTGATGCTGTTTTTCTTAAAAACAAGCTGGGAGTAGAACTTTTTTTTGTACCAGATTTATGATTTATACGGTTAACAATTCCACCTTTAAGAAAATCACACTTTTCAACAGTCATTTTGATAATTGGGATATATTGTCACCTCCTTAGGAATTAAGATGATTCCGAATTCTTCACGCTTGTAGTACAGCAGCAATGGTCATATGTTACATCCAGGCAAAACACTGGTCTCCAAGTCCTATAGTGGGCATGCCATAGTTGCATGTGACTGAAGGGGACACAATATAGGACCAGGTTCGTCGTCTGACAGACGGTGGAAATGCATAGCCGGTGTAAACCACATTAATCAGCTTATGTTGAAGCCACCTACAACATGCAGAAGCAGTCAAATCCCTCAGCGAAGGAGTAGTTCTCCAAGTCGATGGCGCAAACCTAGCAGCGTACGTTTCTGCACCAAAGTAGGAAAGAGATCACTTTTCTCTCCCGTTCTTTCGCACCGTATTCGTTTAACGCGAGAACGGTTTCGCTCGATAAATGACCGAAGCCTTTGGCGCCCCTCCTTCCTCGAGGGGGGGGGGGAACGGTTTGCACTTCCCAAAGCAATAGGAAATGAAACTGCCTAAATATGATGTGGGGACGCCGCCCCCTGACCCAAGCCCAGATGGGGAAAATTAAACTGCCGTCGGTTTTAAATCCGACGCCCAACCAACCAACCAACCAACCGACAGTGCAGTTGACTTTTCACCTCAGCATTGTCGATTTAGAGCGAAAAAAAAATCGTGTTAAACCTGAGGCTATTCGTGTAAAACTAAAGCCCAAGTTTCTTTTGTCCCGCGTCCACCAACCGGAGTACCTCGGTCTGAGCTTCTCCGGGGAGGGAGGGAAGGAGGGAGGGCCTGGAGGGAGGGAGGGAAGGAGGGAGGGGGGGGGGGGGGGCAGAGATGCTGCTGCCCCTCACACCAGGGGCCACTTGACTGCGCGAAGCCCGCAACCGAGGAGGTCCCGAGCGGTCCAGGCTCGGCTCGGCGCGGGACAGGCGTCTGCTCCTCCGCAGAAAAAGGAACCGCGAGGCCAAGGTCACACACCAGCTCCTCCGAGCGTTTCCCGCACAGGGCTCCCGCGGGGGGGAGGGAGGCGCCACCCGCCCCTCGCAAATTCGGGTGCAAACCCAAACTTGGAGCTATTCATCCAGTCGCTCGTGCGCTGCGAAAGCTGCGGGCGGACAGTTGTGGGGAGAGAGGGAGAGGGACCACCAGCGTTCACACAAACACAGACAGTTAGTGACTACGGTACGAGGAGAGTAACCTGAGGCGATGGCGTCCACGTTCCTACAATACAAAGAACCTAACAACGGAAGTGAGTGAAGATGGTTGGGCGCACGCGCGCCTCGCGACTCACCTCGCTGCCGATTCCTGTTGGCTCTGGCCGCGGTCAATCAAAGAGCGGCGTCTTCTCATTGGTCAACGCGTTCAGCGCGCCGCACGCCCGTGGGCGAAGCTTCCGGTCCGGTGACGGTTGGTGACCAGGGTTTGAACAGGTGGTCTCGCGCCGCCTCGCTCTGCGTGTCCCTCGGCGACAATGGCGGCCCCTCTGCCGCCGGCCCCGGGGAGAGGGAGATGAGGCCGAGCCAGGCCGTTTGGCTCATTCCGACTATGGAGAGTGTGCGCTGGGCTTTCGGCTCCGGCGCCTGGCAGCCCAGCCGCCCGGAGTGGCTGCAGGCGGCTCGCTGTGTGCAGGCCGAAGAGAAGGAGCGCATCAGCGGATTCATGTTCGCTAACGACGCCAAAGCAGCCATGGTAATCAGCGCCAGCGGCTTGTACTGCAGCGCCGCGTGCGCTCAGGGGGGAAAAAAACCATCGTCGGTGCTTCGGTAATAAATGAGCCCTTTTGCACATGATACAGCGCCTTTATCGAGAGTCTCACCGGGAAGTGGAGTGACTAATTTTAAGGTGAAACCGCGACGGCCAATTGCGCACAGCGGTGTCTGTCTCTCCCTCACTCACTCACTCACTCCCTGCCTCCCTCCCTCACACACTCACTCCCTCCCTGCCTGCCTCCCTCACACACTCACTCACTCCCTCCCTCACACACTCCCTCCCACACTCACTCATTCACTCCCTGCCTCCCTCACACACTCACTCCCTGCCTCCCTCACTCACTCCCTGCCTCCCTCACACACTCCCTGCCTGCCTCCCTCACACACACACTCCCTCTCTCCCTCACACACTCCTTCCCTGCCTCCCTCACACACTCCCTCCCTGCCTCCCTCACTCACTCCCTGCCTCCCTCACACACTCCCTCCCTGCCTGCCTCCCTCACACACACACTCCCTCTCTCCCTCACACACTCCCTCCCTGCCTCCCTCCCTCACACACTCCCTCCCTGCCTCCCTCACACACTCCCTCCCTGCCTGCCTCCCTCACACACACACTCCCTCTTCCCTCACACACTCCCTCCCTGCCTCCTCCTCACACACTCCCTCTCTCCCTCACACACTCCCTCCCTGCCTCCCTCACACACTCCCTCCCTGCCTGCCTCCCTCACACACACACTCCCTCTCTCCCTCACACACTCCCTCCCTCTCTCCCTCACACACACACTCCCTCTCTCCCTCACACACTCCCTCCCTGCCTCCCTCCCTCACACACTCCCTCCCTGCCTGCCTCCCTCACACACACACTCCCTCTCTCCCTCACACACTCCTTCCCTGCCTCCCTCACACACTCCCTGCCTCCCTCCCTCACACACTCCCTTCCTCACACACTCCTTCCCTCACTCCCCCCCCCCCCCCCCGTCTCACTGACGGCCATGAAGTGAAATGACCGGTTTTATTCGGGGGGGTTGATGGCCAGGACAGGATGAGAAACTAACTCCCTTTCCGAAAAGCGCCACTTGATCTTTAATGTCCACCTGAAAGGGCAGAGGGGACCTCGGTTTAACATCTCATCCAAAGGACAAAACAATGCAGCGTCCCCCACCACTGCGTTGGAGTGTCATCTTAGATGATATGATTTCAAGTCCCGATGCGGGGCTTGAACCCACAACCTTCAGACTCCGAGGCGAGTGTGCTACCGCTGTACAAGGCTGACTCACTTTCTATTCAAAGTGCACTTTTTTTTGGTGGGGGTGGACCCCCCTTCCCTTTTCCAATCGTACCGTGGGATCATTCACGTCCACCTGAACCTCAGGTGGGACCTCAGTTTAACAGCGACCCAAGTTACATTTGTATCGCGCCTTTCACATCGGGAGGATATCCCAAAGGCGCTGGACAATCAGTGTTTCAAGCTGGGGATCAGGGAGGGTGGAAAGCATTGGGGGAAGGGTGACCGAAGAGGAGGGTCTTGAGATGGGTCTTTAAGAAGGCGAGGGAGGGGGTGAGGCGAAGGGACTCTGGGGTGGAGTTCCAGAGGGTGGGGACAGAATGTCAGAAGGTCTAACTGCCATTAATAATAATAATAATAATCCTTGCATTTGATATAGCGCTTTTCACGTCGGGAGGACGTCCCAAAGCGCTTCACAGAATAGACTGTAAAGTGAATTGACTGTATATTTGTGGGCGAACGCGGCAGCCAATTGCGCACAGCAATGTCCCACAAACAGTCGTAGATTGAAAATGACCAATTTATTATTGTTTTTGTTTTGGAGGGATTATTATTAGGCGTGTGGAGTAAGGAAACTTGCCCAAGGTTTCGCCCTGCCTGGAATTGAACTCAGGTCTCTCACTTGCAAAGCGAGTGCTCTAACCACTGAGCTACAGGACTCCATTGGTGGGGTGGGCAAGGCTGGGGACGTGAAGTAGACCAGAGCCTGCTGAGCAGAGCAGGTTGGTAGAGGTCAGAAGATTACCGAGTTAGCTCTCATCTTTGTCAACACAGCATACCCTCAGCATTGCATTGGAGTGTCAACCTGGAAGATGCGAGTTCAAAGCCCTGACTATAATGAGGGATGGAGACTTTGAATCAGTCTACGAGCTGATAAATAATAATACATTTGTTATACCATGTTTCACAGCAGAAGACATCTCAAAACTCTTCACAGAATAGTGACTGTTTTGTGGATGAACAATCCAGATTTGCCTGATTTGTTAAAAGTGCAATACTGGCAGAGTTTCCTGAATGCTTTTAACTATTGCACATATTTTCTGAGATCATTCTAAACCCAGGATAGGCCAAACTGTCCACCTCTAATTACATCAGTAGAACTCATGACATACCTAGGAATGCAGGACAGCCCAGGTAATACTGTTTTATTTGTGTTATTCACAGAAGTGACTTCTGCTTTGAGATTGAAAGCATTTGCCTTCCAGTCTGTTTTTTCTGCCTTTGCTGACTTCCAGAAATCATGTAAATCATAGAATATCACAGATCAGAAGGCCTCTGCCGGCCCTTTGGAAAAACTACCAGTGCAGCATTATCAGAGGTGCCATTCTTCACTCCCCATATCTTTACAAATTTTTCCTCTTCAAGTACCTTTCCTATTCCCTTTTGAAGGTTGTTATTGAATCTGTTTCCACTCCTTTTCAGGCAGTTCTTTCCAGACTGTAACAACTGTTTTTTCTCAAAAAAAAGTCATCTCCCCACTGGTTCTTTTGCCAATTAAACTCTAATGTAGAAGAGTAAATTATTCAGTACAAGTAAACTACATACTTTTTCAAACATTTTTCGTCATCTGTGTACTTTGAACAGAAAGTAATCGTATTTCTCTTCATTCCCCCTACCCTGAATGATGTTCTCACATGTTGAGGTAATGATCGAATTCATGAGTAAATTATAACATTCCGCTCTATTTCAGCCACAGCCATTAGGACAGTTTTGAAGGTATCTTGGGAACCTTTTGCTTATATACCCTATGGGCCAGGAATAATGAATGCATTGACAGCCTACACCAATGTACCGAATGTGGGACTTGAAACCGCAACTTCTGTTCCAGGGGTGTGAGTACTGAGCGAGGCTGACATATAATCCTTTAATTTTGAGCACTCTGCAAGTTTATAATATAAACATACAATGTCTCACTTTTTTAATGGTAATTTCTAAACTAAAACTAAATTCCTGTGTTCCTTGATTAGAACATAAAATGTTACTTGTAATAATACTGTGTTGCAAGTGGCTTGCATTTTTCAGAAGATTATGAGGGTTTATTTTTTTCAATGACGAGCTGAAACAAGTCAAAAAATGGAAGAAGGGTAATAAGTTAACTTCCGGCCCCCCCTAATGAAATTGGGGCTCATCTGAGTATTGAATTAAGTGTCTGCAACAGACTAAAAAGAAGCACTGCAGATTAATTTGTGTTAGAGAGGCTCAGTTGGTAGCCCTCTTGGCTCTGAGTCAGAGGGTAGTGGATTCAGGTCGCACATCAGGACTTTCAGCTGACATTCAAGGATAGTGTGGAGCTGGGGGAGTGCAGCATTATCAGAGGTGCCATTCTTCATGTGAAGAAATTAGGTTTTGTCTGCCTGTTCAGGTGGATGTTAAATGAATTTCTCTCAGTGTCCTGGGCAACAATCTCATGAACAAATTTGATCACTCAGTTCGTAACTGCTTGTGGGACTTTGATGTGTGCAAATTTGCTGCCACATTTGTCAGGAAATACACAACCTGTATACTATAAATTCTGTGAAGTGCTTTGAGATGTTTTAGCAGCTGTTTTAACAACGTGATACGGTTATATGTCAAATGCAAGGATTATTGTTATTTATTTCAAGCAAATTGTACAGAGTGAAATAAATTTACCTAACAGCGGTTTTCCTTAAGGAAATATTTTCACAGAATCAACAATAGTCTTTTTATAAAAAGAATCTGCATGTGTGTAGAGAATAAGATCTCCTCCCCCACCCCCCTACCACCACCACGCACACACCATCCGATGAGCCAATAGCATTTTCATTGATCTTCATTATCAAAAAATGTAAAAGGGCTGTAAATTGGCTACCTCATGTTCACCCTTTTCAGTGCATTATTAGCAACATAGCATCGTGGACAATTATTGTCAATTACTCATTCTAGGTCTATTGTTATCAATGTAAATAGTATTGAATAATAATTATCCTTATTATTCCTCAGATGTTGTAACTTACCTGTATTCGCATAGTTTGGACAGACCATTAACCTTGCTTCAAGTTTCTCATCTGGGCATTTTCTGCAAAAAAATATGATCCCTTAGTCTGTTTGAGATACATTGTGAATGTAGCACATTACCAGAAGGTTGTTGAAACTAAAACTGTTGCGTATTATTCTATTGTCTAATCTTAATGTTGAACCCTGTTTTAATTGGAAACTAGAATCATAGCTGTAGTTTGTTATTTGATAGGATTCATTACTACACCAGAATAGTACTATTGGCTGTTACAGCCTGGACTTTTATTTCAATATTTCTTACTACTGGGCCATAAGATTCTCTGTATTAACTTGTTTTATATGAACTCTGGCTTTAATCTATGCCTCAATGTTGCACCAGCTATATTCAGTTGAGTTGTTCTGTGATGCTGCTATATCTCGGTGGCACATCTTGTTAGGTAAGTACAAAAATATTGCCACATGCTGGATGCATGTCTAATTGCCTTTTGCAGAATTATATTTGTTGGTCATGTGTTGTACATCAAGTAATAATAATTCTTGCATTTGATGTAGCACCTTAATAATAAGGTGATGAAATAAGGAGATCAAGGTGATGAAAAATGCTTACAAGAGGAAATGTACTTCATAATAATAATCCTTGCATTCGATATAGCACCTTGTCACGTCTTCTAGACGTCTCAAAGTGCTTCACAGAATATACTGTGAAGTGAATTGACTGTATATTTTGTGGGCGAAACGCAGCAGCCAATTGCACACAGCAGTATCCCACAAACAGTCGTGGATTGAAGTGACCAATTTTTTTTAAAGGAATTATTACCTCCAGAAAAGCGATCTGCCAATTGACTTACAACCGGGTTATAATAATAATAATAATCCTTGCATTTGATATAGCGCTTTTCACGTCGGGAGGACGTCCCAAAGCGCTTCACAGAACACACTGTAAAGTGAATTGACTGTATATTTGTGGGCAAACGCGGCAGCCAATTGCGCACAGCAATGTCCCACAAACAGTCGTAGATTGAAAATGACCAATTTATTATTGTTTTTGGTTTTTGGAGGGATTATTATTAGGAGTGTGGAGTAAGGAAACTTGCCCAAGGTTTCGCCCTGCCTGGAATTGAACTCAGGTCTCTCGCTTGCAAAGCAAACCTTATCACATTACCAATTGTCACTTATCATAATTTCAACAGATTTACTGCATAATGTGTTGACTATTTTGTAGTGAACCCTAATATATATCTGTCCTAAACTACAGGGTCTGATCTAAAACAGACACTTGAATATACTTGTATTAATTAGTTTCTCCCAGTTTCCCTTTCAACAATCCAAATAACAATGGTCACACATTTCATGGCTGATTGTGGGACATTGCTGTGTGAAAGTTGGCTGCTGGTTTTGCTCACACAACGCAGTTACTGCACCTTACAGTATATCATGTGAAGTGCTTTGGGACATCCTGACATGAAAGGCGCTATTCCAAAATATAATGATTATTAGTCCTTAATGTTTTTCCCAGTATGAAGTTATTGATTTCAGTCTTTCAATGTTTGGTTTAGTTAAGATTTTTTCTACTATTTTATCTCGAACTAATTATACAAACTCTCTGATAAGATCAGGCAACTATGACAGCTATCATATTTGCAATTGCATAAATCTGTTTTCAGCATAACACTAGGATTATTGCATCACCTCTTCAATTTATTATTACATCTGTTTTTTTCTGAAGGGTGGACGTCTTCTGATCAGAAAATTAATTGCTGAAAAACTAAAGATTCCTTGGGATGAAATCCAACTCCAAAGGACAGAAAAGGGAAAGCCATTTCTGGTTAATAGCACTCCTAATGTATTCCCTAATTTTAATTTCAACATCTCACATCATGGAGACTATACAGTTCTGGCTGCTGAGCCTGTTTTACAGGTTGGTATTGATGTCATGAAGACTGACTTGCCAGGTAAGAGTCAACATTTAGTTTTCACATCCACCTATTTGTATAACTAATTTGTTGTGTGTCAGTCAGCCTGGCTCAGTTGATCACACACCTGCCTCGGAGTCAGAATGTGTGTTGGTTCAAGCTTCACATTATGACTTTGAACTCATAGCTTTTACGAAGATACGGCAATGCAGTAATAGGGGGGGGTTGCTACATTGTTGAAGACATTAGAAATGTTAAAGTTAAACCAATATGGCATCTGCCTATTCAGGTGGACTTTTTTTTAAAAAAACACACCATATTTGAGAAGAGAAGCAAGTTTCTTCCAGTGTCCTGGCCAACAATCCCCCAAATAAAATTAGTCATTCATTTCACGATAGTTTGAGAGACATTATCAGTGAGCAAAAATAGCAGTTCACCTACAAAAAAATACAGCTATTTAGAGGGTTTTATGAGCTACAATTTGCATAATTGACGCCCTTTGATTAGGAAAGAGAAATCAACTAGGGTTTCTATTCTTGAATTTGCACATGTATGAACATTGGGTGAGTACAGTATTGGGCCCACATGATTCCTTCTCTTTCACACTCACTCAGCACTCAATGTCATGTATGAATAATAACAACAAAATTACATTTATATAGCGCCTTTCACGTCGGGAGGACGTCCCAAGGCGCAGGACAGATAGTTACGGACCTGAGCTGATGGTCGAGGTGGGGGAGGAGGGAGAGCAGGAGGGAAGCAGGGAGATCGAAAGCACTTGATCAAGCGCCTAAAGGGTGCTACAATATAACGGTAGTCCAGCAGAACGAAAGAAGTCAAATGTTGAGGGGTAGTTGATATTGGAAAAATAATTAGGGTATTTTGTAGTGTGAACCTAGTGTGAACTATTTGCATTTATTTGAGTTACAAATCAAAATTTTTAGCCTTTCCCTTCATTCCACCCAGTTGATGGATCTTACATTTGATATTCAGAACTAAATGTAGACATCTGGTGTTACAAAATTGTCAAAAATGCAAAACAGTAGTCATTTGCTGGTGGTTCCCAGAAGGCCAGTTTTATGTTTTCTAATGAGCTTTTTCTGTAATGTCATTGCAAATAAAAATAAACATTTATTCTCTTATCTTAAAAAAATCTTGATACTATTGGATTTACTCTGAAATGCAAATTCATTATTTGGTCATTTGCAAAATGACTAGCAAATTCAGAACAATTGAAATGTGAGTGTCAACATTTTCATTTGGAGAAATGGTAGAATTTTTGTCACCTTTCAAAAAATTGTAGTGAAAGAAATGAAATGAAAGCTTTCTTGTCGATAGAGGTTTTAAACATTAACTTGCACTTTTAGCACGTTTCATGAAGATTGAGACTCTTGAAGCTTTTAACAAATATGAGAAGCACTGCAAGAAGCAGGAAAGGGGAATAAATATTTTTGAAAGCAAGAAGAGAGCAAACAAGCAAAAAGATTTGGAAGAGAGTTTCAGAGGCTGGTTTCAGTAGCTACAACATCAGCCAGCGGTGGGAAAGGGGGAGTGAGCAATGAGCAATAGACCGTAATCATGGGAGCAGAAGGTAAAGGCAACAACAACTTGCATTATTATATTGCGTGTCATGCAGGGTAGCAGAGTCCTAGAACGCTTGAATAACACAGTTAGGTGAAAATATGAGCAGGGAGAAGAACATCCATTTAAAGTTGAGGATGAGGATCTTAAAGTTGATCCTATAAGATATTGAGAGTCAGTCGAGCCATTCATGAGTCCATATCATCACGATTGTTCCCATAAATCATACTGTTTGCATAAACCATTTGAGTTGCGGTACTGTATTATAATTTCCCAAATAAAGGATTTTATAAGGAAAAATAATTGATTGTTAAAAATTAGTAGCTAATGTGTGGATTGTTTCAGCATCAATATCTTAAATTTATAAAACTCTTTCTTCCCGCCTTGCATGCAACAGTCTACCTCTTATCAAAGCGCTATATCAAATGCAAAGATTTTACCTCTTGCCCCAGCAATCATCGATCGAGGATTTGTTATTCTCAAACTGAACATATCTTTTATGTTTTCAATACTATTCTCAAACAGTTCCTAATCCAGATCCATTTTTGAAGGATTTACTTTTACTCAACCAACTTTAGGAGTCTATTGTATTTTCACTACTCGGAAGGAATTATATTTACTATAATCTTCTTTGGAGCCATCTGCAGGCATTAGGTCCATTTCCATATAATAATAATCCTTGCATTTGATGTAGATGGCACTCAACTTATTTTTCTTTACTTCCAAGTATCGTATTTTGAAAGCCTAACATTGGTCTGAATGTAACTCTTATTACCTTAATCAATATTGTGTTGCATGTTTACTGAGGTAATGTAGAGATCCAGAGATTCCACAAGATGGCGCTCCTGATCTGCTATCATACATCTCCCTATATCTAATGCTATTTCAATTCCACAAAAGACAGCAATATCCCATAAGCAGCCATGTAATGAGTTGCCAGCTTCTTTATCTGGAGATTTGTTGGCCAAGACACTGGAAGAAACTGTTCTCTTTGAATAGTGCCTTTTCATTTCATCAGTGAATTATGAGTGAAGTGCAGTGACTGTGTACTTGTAGGCAAACAAAACTATGAATTTGCATGCAGCAAAGTCTCCCAGACCTGAATTGAATGCCCAGTTTATCTTGAGATTATTGGCCTGGAATCTTGCTACTTTTTTTCAGATTAACATTCTTTCGAACATGTGTGGATAGGATCTTGTTTTACCGTCTCATCTGAAGGACTGAGTATCAGTCTAGACTGTGAGCTCCAAGTCCCAACATGGGACTTGTGCCCACAATCTTCTGACCTAGAGTCGAGAATGTTACCCACTGAGCCAAGTTGAAGCAATATCTTTACAGAAAATTTATTTTTGTGGAATTGTTTCCAAATAAAAAGGTTCTGATTGATCTGGTAAGATGCTATGGAGATATTTGACACTGATAATGGAAATTGAGAACAATTAAAATTTGATTTATCCTTGGGTTTGTTTCTTTCCAGTGCACGAAGTGGTACAGATGAGGTTTATAGAGAGTCAATTTGAAAGAAAAATATATTATTGGAATTATTGGAATTCACTTTGATACAAATGGTACTTAAGATTTACTCTGCACTACAGCTTTTCATAATAAATCAGTTTAAATGTTGTCCGAGCTTTCTTTTAGAGAGAATTATTTTTGTACCCAGAATTTTACAAATGGAAATGGTGAGTCATATTAGACATGGATACAATAGCAATTGCAGGAATACAATTTACAGCTAATACAGAGAATAAGACTTTGAGCTACTTTTTCACTGAACTTGCCTTATTGGTGAAGTGTAAAATTACTGAGTTGCTGATAATATTATCAATTGTATGCTGGAAATGAAGCATTCTATATCAACTCTCTTCCTATAAATAAAACTAAAGTAACTCATCCTTGATATTATTCCCTGTCTGTTTTGTATATTTCATTTTGTCTACAGTTTACATTGATAACCAGATATGTGAGTGAAATAATATATTGTAGATGATGGAAAGATATGCATATGTGATCTTTCCAGCATTGAATAATTATCAAATGGTTTCTCCTGTCCGGTCACCTGTGAGCTACCCCAGGGCTCCATCCTTGGCTCTCTTCTTTTCCTTATCTATATGCTCGCTCTGGGTGATGTCATCCACAGACACGGGAAACTTCCACATGTATGTGGATGACACACAAATCTACTTTGCCTCCTCCAGCACCTACTCCAGGTCTGCTAATGTTCTATCAGCTTGTCTGGCAGACATCAGGGCCTGGATGAGTGTAAACTTCCTGCAGCTGAACGTGGACAAATACTCCTTGGCTCCCGTCAACGTCTTCATTCCTGCAGATCTGATCTCCTCAACCTCCCCGGGCTCTCCCTCAGACTCACTGAACCAGTGCACAATGTAGGCATCCATTGCGACCCCCAGCTGCCCTTCCTCCCCCACATCCGGTCCCTGCCCAGATGGCCTTCTTCCACCTCTGCCACATTGCCCGCCTCCGCCCGTACCTTATCCCAAAGTGCATGGGTTTGTCACCTCCCGCTTGGATCACTCAAACGGCCTCCTCACCGGTCTCCCCAGCTCCACCATTCAAAAAATTCCAGCTCATTCAGAACCCGTACCCACATCTCACCAATTCTGGCCAGGCTCCACTGGCTCCCCGTCACCAAACAGATCGACTTCAAGATCCTCACGCTTGTGTTCAAATCCCTTCACTCTCTGGCGCTTCCGCTCAACTGGCACCGGCCTCCTGCTCGACTCTCACACCCTTCACCCCAACATCGATGGTTGCACTTTCAGCCACCATGCCCCAAAACTCTGCCTGTTCTGGTGGACATTAAAGAAACTATGGAATTTTATGAAAAGAGAATATCTTCTTTTGTAATCTCCACCAATAAACAATACATCCCTTGGGTGTTCACTGGTTTAGATACTCTTAAGCCAAACAGTGAGTTTCCGCAGGTGGCACACTCCCAGCTGAGTAAAGCCAAATTCCCAGGTACCACAGAAATCAGTGCTGAAGATGTTGTGATATTTCTGGCAATACTCTACTACAATTTCAAACTTTTTTTGAATATCCTAACATTGAGACTTATCAACTTAATCTAACTCTCATCCAACCTTCCAGCACCTTGCTAATAGGCCATTATTTCTATGTGAGTTTTGAAAGTCAGGGCTAGTGAATTATTTGACAATGAATGCTATCGCATAGCTTCATTCTATCTTCACATAGAAGTAATGGACAACGTAATAAGGTGCTGGAAGTCGTTTAACTGTGGGCCTGAATCCTTTAACTCCACTCCACCTAATATTTCCCCATTCAGAAAATATTGGAATGCTTTTTGCATATTTTCGTGCACTTTATGAAGCAGCATGTTCTGCAGTCATATGATTTCAGCTCATTATATTTTTGTTTCTTTAGTGTGGTTATGTTCATGTGCTTTGAGCCATACTTGATTTCTTTCATCAGAGTTTGGAAAAAGAAAATTGATTTGTTGATTTTTTTTCCGTAACCCATGTTCTTTTTTGCTATCCACATAGAGCAGTCAATACAAGCATAAATCTTCTTTTCTGAGTGATTGCTAACCACATCAGCTAACAGCAAACCAATTTCATACGGTTAATGAAAGGTATTTGTAGATGCTGCTACAATGATTGCCGCATCAATATGAAACAGAAGGTTAATATCAAAGCCAACAATAACGCTTTTTACAGTGGCTTCAACTGTAGATTGTGTAATTTTCTAGTCAATCCATTTTAGTTTTTTAGTATTGTATGTGCTCTTGAAAAATTCTGTTTGACTGATTCCAATTTAATTTTACTCTCATAGGGTTTCTACTAAGGTTAAGAGAAAAGGCGAGGCTCAATTATTCAAGTAATTTTGCCAATGGAGAACTCCCTATTGCTATCCATTTGGATTTTTGTGAACAGAGCATGGTACTCACTTATTTGGTTCTCCGAGGTTTCAAGGATATTTTCGTTGAAAAAGAGGAGAGAAGGGGCAAGGTGAAGGGATTGAGGGAGAGTGTTCCAGAGTAATCAGGGCGTAGTGGTTGAATGCGCGACCTCCAGTGGTTGAGTGGAGGGCGTAAGGGACAAGCAAGAGGCCAGTGCCAGTCGAGCGGAGAAGCCGGGTGGTGGATTGGGGAGTGAGGAGGTCGGAGAGGTAGGGAGGTGCCAGGGAGTGAAGGGATTCCAAATATAAGTGCAAGCAATGTGCTACACTTATTCGAAAGAGAATAAATCCCAAAGTGCAGCCCATTGAAGTACCAAAAGTAGGTTAAGTGATAGTTTCAATTTCACATTTGTTATTCTCAACCTGATGAGGTGCTAATAACCCCATTGTTTTGCCATCTGGAGGTGGTGAGTGGAGGTTAGGTGTTCACTCCGAGAGTGATGGAAAACGATGGGTGAATTGGATTTCTCATACATTTCCTGTTAGTTGATTATAGATTTTAATTAGAGTGGGTTTTGTAAGCAGGTTGTCTCTGTTTTATAGGATAGAATGATGCAAATCTATATTGTACTCTCCATTACTGCAATATCTTTCCTGTGTTATGTTGATCAGAAATGTGCACAATACCTTATGTCAATTTATATTGCTTCCCTACTTTTGTACTCTTCCTTTAGACATAAAACCATTTGTGATTTTGTATTTTTGTACTGAAAGGTGCAACAACAACAACAACAACAAGATTCCATTTATAAAGCGCCTTTCACGTCAGGAGGACGTCCCAAGGCGCTGCACAGTTGGGTCATGACCCGAGCAAAGGGGAAATGGTCAGGGTGAGGGGAGGGAAGGGAGGGAGCGAGGATGGGGGTAAATGGTCAGGGTGAGGGGAGGGAAGGGAGGGAGCGAGGAGGGGGAAGAGAGTCGAGAGGGGAGCTGAAGGCACGGTCAAAGAGAAAAATGTAAGGATTATTACTGTATAAACTATAAAGTAAGACATCTCCTTAAGGATTATTCTTTAGCCAAACCATTTAAAGTGCTTTATTGTATAAATGGGTTTTGTTCTTGTTGACCAACTTTTGTTTAGTGATATAATAATCGGGAACTTTTCTGTCTCAATTGTGTTTTATAGGTAGCAGTTCAATCCCAGAATTCTTTCGAATTATGAACAGACAATTTACTGATCATGAATGGAATATGATCAAGATGGCAGGAGATGAATGGGACCAACTCAACATGTTTTACAGATATTGGGTATGTTTAAAAAAAAGTATGTTACAGCATCATCAATTTTGTATCTAGTCAACAAATAATATAAAGATAATCATCTTTCCATTTGGTATGGCGCCTTTCATGTCGGAAGGATGTCCTAAAGCAGTTCAGAGGATTTACTGTAAAACGGAGTGACTGTGACTGTCTACCCAGCAACCAATTTGCACACAGTGTCCCACAAACAGCCATGAATTGAATGATTTAATTTATCTGGGAGATTGTTGGCCAAGACACCAGGAGAAACTTCATTCTCTTTTCAAGTAGTACAACGAAACCTTTGAAATAGTGTCATGGGATCCCATGGAACATTTTAACCTCTCCGCTCAGCAGACTCTGGCTTGCTCCATGTTCCTCGCCCAGCCCATTCCACCATCAGCAGCCGAGCCTTTCTACCCCAACCCTATGGAACTCCATCCCACATTCCCTTCACCTTGCTCCCTCCCTTGCCTCCTTCAAAGTGTGTCTCAAAACCCTACTCTTCGACCGAGCCTTCAGCCATCCTCCTCTCCTCCCTGGCCTCCTCGATCCCGACATCCAGCTTGAGTCCAAATCCCTGACTGTCCAGTGCCTTGGGACGCCCTCCCGACGTGAAAGCATTTATACAAATGTAACTTATATTGTATTTAACATCCACCTAGTCTGAAGGACGGCATCTCTAACAATGCCACGCAACCACAGTACTACATTGGAGTGTCATCTTAGACTATGAGTCTTAAGTCCTGACATGGGGCCCACATTTCTCGTACCAAATGTGGTACAATAAGTAATTTTATACTGCTTCCTTGTTGATGTTAGATGGAAATAATACTAGTTTTACATGTGGTTGTAAAATAAATTGGCTATTCACTTCATGGCTGTTTTTGGAGACATTTTTGTACAGAAATTGGCCTACTGCCTTTACCATCAAATACATTTACTATGCTTGACAGCAATTACCTGTGAAGCATTTAAGATATTTTAGTATTGTAGGAAGTATATACGTCGCAAGAATTACTATTGTTAAATGCATTTCGTCAGGAAGTTATTTGCAAATGCTGACTACAACCATTTTCTGAATGTTGTGTTAACTAGGGTTTAAATGTGTAAAATATGCTTTGATAAAATTCCATCAGGTTCACTGAATTTCAAAGACAAAAGGAGAATGTCCTGAAGCATGTTTTTCTTTGCTTTTCTTTCTTTAGCCTTCTTTGCTTTTGCCTTGTTGTGGCCTTGGATCTGTGAAGGTTTCAATCTCCACTAGAGATTTTATATTACATATATATAGTATTAATATTAAATGACGTTATTCAGAAGTTCTTGTATATAGAAAAAACTATTCACATATTCCTCACTTGTCCACTCACCACTTTGTTGCCCTCTGGTAATGTGTTTGCCTTTCAGTATTGATGATTGAGACGTCATCATTTGACCCATTGAAAAATCAGAAATGTTGTACATTATCATTTCAAGGCATGTTCATTTTAATTTGCATAACCCTGCTCTTTTACCTTAGTTTTCTCTCTACATTATTATTAGCGTTTTGGTTTTAATGTTAAAATCAGCTCATTATAATATTTCAAGTGGCCCATTACGGTTTCTGGGATTGGGGGCATGTTTATTCTACAGTAAGATTCAAGGGCAAAATTATTATAATAATAATATAAGAAGAATCCTTCCATTTGATATGGCATCTAATCATATCAAAATGTCTCAAAGCATTTTGTGGGATTTTACTGAATTGTGTAGTGACTGATTTTTTTTAGGTGAAAGTGGCAACTAGTTTGCACACAGCAATGTCCCACAAACAGACATCAAAATATACAGTTAAACTAAGTGCATACATGGAGAATGGAAAATGCAGTGCAGAATCTTACCCTGGTATTTGGTGCTGTCATGTCAGCGTGCAGTTACAATAACAAAATCAGACACCAGGCCATCCAGTTGCTATTTTCTGGCGGTAGCACAATTCACTTAAGAACCTTAACAAGTACAGCGCGTGCTTCTCAAATCTTTGAAAAGCTTTCTGCTTCCACAGGGTGACCAAAAAGTCTTTTTTCAGCAACCCTATTATCTAAAAAAAAATCATTATTTCTTTAAGGCTTATTAGACATTGTAATGGTATCATGACGTTTTGGTCCCCCTGTAATTGACTAGATGCTTTCTGACATGCATCTGAAAAAAGCTAGTTTAATTACTTTATTGAATGCTGTTACAGTTTAATTACACTCAGCAGCTTTAAGTTTTTGAACATAACTCTCATCAACAACAACAAAATTACATTTATAGAGCGCCTTTCACATCGGGAGGACGTCCCAAAGCGCTGAACAGTCAGGTGTTGGAGCCTGAGCATGGGGGAGGGGTGGTGAAGGGATGAGGGAAGGCAGAGAGGTGGGAGGGCAACCAAAGGCAAGATCAAAGAGAAATGTCTTGAGACCGGCCTTGAAGGAGGCAAGGGAGGAAGCGAGGCGAAGGGACTGTGGGATGGAGTTCCAGAGTGTGGGGGCAGAGAGACTGAAAGCCCAGCCACAGATGGTAGGGCGAGTCGGGCGGGAGACATGGAGCAGGCCAGAGCCCACTGAGCGGAGGGAGCGGGCAGGTTGGTAGGGAGTCAACAGGTCAGAGAGGTAGGAGGGGGCAAGGCCATGGATGGCCTTGAAAGTGAGAATGAGCATCTTCAACTCGATCCTCTGGGGAATCGGGAGCCAGTGGAGTCGGACGAGGCTGGGAGCGATGGGGTCAACAAGCCTGGTGCGCGAGAGTACACAAGCTGCAGGGTTTTGGATGATCTGCAGCTTGTGAAGGGAAGAGTTGGGAAGGCCGATGAGGAGGGAGTTCCCGTAGTCAAGCCTTGATGTGATGAATGCGTGGATAAGGGTTTCGGCAGCCTGAGGGGTGAGGCAGTGGCTGAGTCTGGCAATGTTGCGGAGGTGGTGGTAGGCAGTGCCAGTCATGGCGCGGATGTGGGGGAGAAAGGACAGTTCAGGGTCAAACAAGATACCCAGGTTCCTGACTGGCTTAGTGAGGTTGAGTGTGCTGCCGTGGAGGCTGATACTGCCAGCGGCCGAGGTGCGGAGGTGCCGGCGCGAGCCAATCAGGAGGGCCTCGGTCTTGCTGACGTTGAGCTTGAGAAAGTTGTCCCTGTCCAGGACTCATAGATCTGTTTGTAAGAATATGACAAGTTCACTTATCACCCCACAAAAGCATCACAACAATCTACTTATTGATCTTTACTTAGTTATTTATTTGCTGCTGCAATTTCAGTTGATCCAGTTGTCAGTAAAAAAATTGTGATCAGAGTGACTAGATCACGTTTCTATGATATTCCTTTTAACAATGTATTACTGGTATGTTTTTTTATTCTGTAATTCAATGTTTAATACTAAAAATAATTGGCACTTTGCTTTGAGTATAAGTATTCCTGAACACCTAGTGAATAAATACACTATTCATTTAGACAACAGATCAAAGATTAAATTCCAAGTCAAGTTATCTGATCACAATTGGGTGAGCATTTAAGACATTACAATTAATCCTTGCTTTGCCGATACATGGAGAGAATATCATCTAGGTTTCCTCGTCCTTAAAGCTTTTCTGTGACTCCTGCTAGAAACAAAAAGTGAAGTACACAAAAACCTGATGATCTCTCAGCTTTTTCTTTAAAAAGTACAGGACTAGGCTGCATGCACAGGGAAACCAGCTATCACTATTGAGATTTTATAGATCCAACCATTGTGTTAAAACAAGGCATTGTTCTTTATCCTATACAGCTTTAATACTTAATACTTGTGTGTACAAATGCTACTTTAATATTTAATATTGGAGTTGTTTCTCTTTTTATATATAATTTTAAATTTATATTTTATATTATACATTGTTTAGTTTTATACACTAGCAGGACTGACGGTTCTATTTATTTTCCAGGCTTTGAAAGAAAGCTTTATAAAGGCAATAGGAGTTGGAGTAACATTTAATCTACAGAGGATTGAGTACCATGTGTCACCATTACAGCTGAGAGAAGGACAAGTCTTCAGGGAGACTAGAATGTTTTTGGATGAAGAGGAGGAAGATGCATGGTCGTTTGAAGTAAGCTTATGTAATTTGGGTCAGACATCGCCTAACAAATTTATACTGGCCAATGCTGTGAATCACACATTTATATTTGATTAGTTCGTATTGTGGTGTCTATTTCCTAGCATTTGTTTATTTGCCATTAAATTGTTGGTGGTCCAGCTACGTATCAATTTTAACTTTTCCGTCAGCCTGGTGCAGTGGTAGCACTCACACGTCTCACCTCTGAGTCAAAAGGCTGTGGGTCCTACAACCCACATCGGGACTTAACAATTGCACAGTCTAAGCTGACACTCTAAATGCAGTGCTGGGGGTGTGTTGCATTGTCAGAGGTGCCATCTTTCAGATGAGACATTATACTGAGATCCTATCTGCCTGTTCAGGTGTTAAAGATCCAATAGCATTATTCAAAAAGAGAAACAACAACAATAAAATTACATTCATAGAGCGCTGGGACATCCCAAACAGTCAGGTGTCGGGGCCTGAGTATGGGGGAGGGGTGGTGTAGGAGTGAGGGAAGGCAGAGAGGTGGGAGGATGACCAAAGGCACGATCGAAGAGAAGGGTCTTGAGACCGGCCTTGAAGGAGGCAGGGGAGGAAGCGAGGCGAAGGGACCGTGGGATGGAGTTCCAGAGTGTGGGGGCAGAGAGGCTGAAAGCTCGGCCACCGATGGTAGGGCGGGTCAGGTGGGAGACATGGAGCATACCGGAGCCCGCTGAACAGAGGGAGCGGGCAGGTTGATAGGGAGTCAGTAGGTCAGATAGGTGGGAGGACACTGGGAGAAAGAAGTTTCTCCCATTGTCCTGGTCAGCATTCCCCCAAATAAAATTGGTCAACAACAACAAGATTATATTTGTTTAGTGCCAAGTCCCAAGGAGCTGGACAGTGTACAGCATTTCAGACCCGAGCTGGGGTCGGGGGCGAGAGGGGAAGGAGGGTGGCCAATAGCATGGTCGAAGAGGAGGGTCTTGAGGCAGGACTTGAAGGAGGCTAAGGAGGGGGTGAGGCGGAGTGACTGAGGGATTTCATCATCTTTATTTTGTTAATTAGGAAACCATGTTGGATGGCAGGCATCATGTTGCTGTTGCACTTGGGAAACAAGACACTGATAGCAAGGACACTTTGCAGGTGATGGAGGTTATTTCATATCTGTGATCACTAGAAAGTAACAATGTAAAGTCTAATTTCTGATCATTTATTTTGTTAAAAGTCTGGGTCAGTTGGTAGGACGCTCGCCTCTGAGTCAGGAGGTTGTGGGTTCAAGCCCCATGTTGGGACTTGGAATCACTAAGCTGATACTCCAGTGCAGTGCTGCTTTGTCGGAGGTGGCATCCTTCGAATGAGATGTTGAACCAAGGTCTCGTCTGCCTGTTCAGGTGGGCATTAAATATCACATGGCACGTCATTCTATGGCGTTTTGTGAGGCAATCACAAAAGGATGCCGTGTTTGCCTACAAAATACGCAGTCACTACACTTCACATAAATGCTTTTAAGTGCTTTAAGATGTCCTTCTGACCTGAAAGGCGTTATACCAAATGCAAGGGTTAATATTATTTACTGGTTAGTCCAGTAGGATAGGGAAATGTGCCTGGAAGATAAAATGTGTCAAAATGGAGGGAAACAGCATAACCTTTGTGTCTGAAGGCAGTGACATAGCAAATGTCTTTGAAGTCACCAGGGGAGCTTTACAAGAGTTCAGATTGATTGACTCAAACATGTTGGCATCTCACAGGGTAAGAGGACATTCAGTACTGAACTCTGTACTCCAGCTAGCAGAAAAGATAAAAGAATAAAATCCAAGCAAGTTGCAGTATGTCTGTCTCTTGTTGCTTTACCTGCTGCTTCAGGCTTCGAACTCTGATTATAATTCCTTTTGGCTGTTGCACCTTCACTTGCTTCAGACCTGCATGTTGATTTATATCCCCGAGTTTCACAAGCTAGCGTTAGGGGAGCATGGTAAAACAACTCACTGTTAAGGATTATATCATACAAAAGGCAGAATTAAGAAATTATGTATTTTTATTGAGGTAAAATTATTACTAGGTATTTATTTCTAAGATGATTTTAAACAAGACATTGTGTACAAGATAGATCAACATCAGTGACTGTGTAGCTAATTGTAGTACAACTAAAGGAACCAATTCTCAGGGAATAGTATAAAAATATTATTAAGCTGCTTGAACTAGAACCAACTATTTTCCATATATGTCTATGTGTGGATACATATACACAGTATACACTTGCTTTATGATGGTAAATTGTGAAACTGCTCCTGTGTTGAAAGTGTATATGCATATTAAAACTTATTTTGATGTAGACAAGTGTATAACTGCTTCACATAATTCCTTGAAGGATTGTATAAATTCAGGATTGTGTTCCTATATCTATATTTATACTAAATATTATTTATGTTTCTTTAGGTACAAGTCAATGCTAGAGAAAAGCTACCTCAGTTCACCATTTTGAACTTTCAAGATCTAATGTTCTCAGCGGTCCCTATGGCACCAGAGGATCCCAATGCCTGGGAAAACTTTCATGCAAAGCAAGAAAAACCAATCCGGCAATCCAATGCACCCACCTGATGTTTACTGCAAGGAGCAGAATTGTCAAAGAGGAAAACTTTATATATCTTAATCACAAACCTTGGACAACTGATGGAAGGATGACATACTATACATCAATTCTCCTTTCTATTTCCTCAGAGAGCTTCTCTCAAATGATTGATGTGCACCGCTGATTTTCTCTGGATCACTGGTTTTGGGACTGATGATCAATGACAAGGAGTGTGGCAGGTTCATAATGAAGGCTTTATTTTTTTTGCCGCTGTGTACTTGTAGTGTGGAAAGAAGTTCTGAGGACAATTGAATGAATGCAATGCTGAAGACTTATTGCTACATATAATTCCTAGAAAAAATCCATCATGCTGAGTGTATTCTGAATTGACATTCAAATGTATCAACATTTTACAACCTTTAAAGTTTACTAAATGTCATACTGCATCATGAATCATACAAGTCAATTTCAAGATTTTGTGCTTTTAATTTCAAATCATTTTATAGAAGAGCATTTTACTCTAAATTAGTCATTTTTTGTAGCACCTTTCTCTGAATCCTTTGAAGGACAATGGCTCTTACAATCCTGAAAGGGTTTTTTTTTAGCACCAGAAAGGCCAATAAACAAGGTGTTCCTTGCATGTGAAATCTGTTTGAATCTAAGCAAAACATATCTAGAAAGCTAGAAGTTCTGAATTCTTGACATTATCCACATATTAGGCATTTCGCACATAAAATATGCAATCAATTCACTTTACAGTATATTCTGTGAAGCACTTTGAGATGTCTCAAAGACTTGATAAGGTGCTATATCAAATGCAAGGATTATTTATAGGTAGGCCATCTCAACAAGGGAAAATCATTAAGGCCAATGTTCTCTTAAACTGTTTTGATGTGCATGTTTTTGAGATCATCACCCACATGACTCCACCCTTTAAGTGATAATTATCTTTTCTCTCTTAGCTGGAAAGGAAATCTGCCCCCACCCTCTGGAATTCCATCCCACAATCCCTTCGGCTCACCCCCTCCCTTGCCTCCTTCAAGGCCCATCTCAAGACCCTCCTCTTTGACCCCGTCTTCAACCCCCACCCTAACTGCCAGGCACCCCTCCTGATCCCCCCCTTAGCTTGAGTGCACATCCTTGACTGTCCAGCTCTTTGAGACGTTCTCCAGACGTGAAAGGCACTATACAAATGTAATGTGTTGTTGTGTGTCAGCCTGGTTCAAAATCATGACTCCAGTTGGTAGTTTGGGTTCAGGGCTTATGTATTCTACTGCTGTATTCTAAACTGATACTCCAATAATGGTGCTGGGGTTGTGCTGCAATGTTTGAGGTGCCGTTCTTCAGATGAGACATAAAACAGATCCTGTGACTATTTAGTTAGATGTTAAAATAATAATAATAATCCTTGCATTTGATATCCCAGGATAATCATAATAATAAAAATCCTTGCATTTGATATAGTGCCTTATATCATAGTTTCTCCTGGAGTCTTGGCTAACAATCACCATGATAAAATTGGTCATTTACTTAACGGCTATTTGTGGGATGTTGCTGTGTACAAACTGGCTGCTGTGTTTGCCTAGAAAATACATATAGTCACCACATTTTATGAGCTAGCCCAGGGGTCTCCAAGGTGAAAGACTGCAATCCCAAAGCTTTGGATACTGTACATATTTATAAGTTTAAATTTCTTTGTGAGGAATAGTTTAGAAGGTCACTTGACTTCCAACAATGGGGAAGCAACTCCAAAATTGTACATGTACAAAATCATGACTCCAAAATTGTACAAGATTAAATTGTTTAACAGTCAGAGTTATGTAAGAATGTATTCATGTCTCCTTGGAGCTGAACTGGCTGTCAGGCTGTCGGAATCGAGCCAGACCTCTGGTCTTGGTAGTCTAGTTTCTGAGCCGGGCGGGGCCACAGCACCGATGTTGACAGCATAGCCAGCCTGGCTCATCGGCAGAACTTGGAAGGACAGACCAGTCACTGGGAGCAGGGAGTCATCCCATTCAGATCCTATTAACTCTGCAAGCCAAAGCCTTAAAGGGTAGGGTGATCCCAGCTGGACAAGCAGTGGGAAAGCTTGCTGGATAACAATTTATACGCCCACAAATATACAGTCAATTTACAGTCTATTCTGTGAAGCACTTTGAGACGTCTAGAAGTCGTGAAAAGTGCTAAATCAAATGCAAGGATTATTATTATAATATCAATGGCTATACAGTTTTAGCTGGCTAGACTCCAGCAGGACCCCAACACACACTCTGAAGTCCCCAAGCTTTGGCTTTTGCCAAGCTGCACCTAAAACTTCCTGGAATTGGGTAAGTAGGATGTGTCCCTCCAGGGAGAGAGTGCACATTCCAACAATCTATATGGGATTTCCATGTGTTGATGGAACTCTCAGCTTGGTTTGGATACTGTTCAGTATGGTGATGGATTTCCGCGTGTGTCAGACACCTGGTGGACCATAAAAAAACTATGAATATATTTTACAATATTAGCAGAGAAATTAATGTATAATTACATACTCCAGCAAATTGTATTATTTTAACTGTGTTATCCATACACTGCTACCTTCATTTCTAGATTGAGTTTCCTCACAGGCTTTTAACAAATCTCAAAGCAATCAATAAAATGTAATAACCTGTAATAATAACCAGAATGAAAGCTTTACAGTGAAAGCATATTCTTTGAACTGCGGGTATCCTGAAGTGTTAACAAAATAATAAAGTGCGCATATGCAGGAGCATTTGGTTTATCATTATTAATAATAATAATCCTTGCATTTTAAATAATGCCTTTCACATTATGTGAACATCTCAATGTGATATAATAATAATAATCCTTGCATTTGATATAGCGCTTTTCACGTCGGGAGGACGTCCCAAAGCGCTTCACAGAATACACTGTAAAGTGAATTGATTGTATATTTGTGAGCGAACGCGGCAGCCAATTGCGCACAGCAATGTCCCACAAACAATCGTAGATTGAAAATGACCAATTTATTATTGTTTTTGGTTTTGGAGGGATTATTATCAGGCGTGTGGAGTAAGGAAACTTGCCCAAGGTTTCGCTCTGCCTGGAATTGAACTCAGGTCTCTCGCTTGCAAAGCGAGTGCTCTAACCACTGAGCTACAGGACTCCACTGTAAAGTGTAGTGACAGTTTACTTTGCAGTCGAACGCAGCAGCCAATTTGCACACAGCAGTGAAGCACAAACAGCCATGAAGTGAGTGACTTTGTTTGAAAACAATAAGTGAGAATTTACCAATATAAAGTGGCATTAGCATATTGAAAATTAATGGAGTTACCATATACTGAATGGAAAAGAGCATTGCCTGAAGAGTGGGTTCTCAATTTATTTCAAAGTTAGCATTTTGTACCACATTAGACCTTTGTTTGATTGTAATTTTCATGTTAATACACTGAGATAGATAGGACATTTCTATTTAATTAATGTACACTGAATAAATTAAGCTTTTATATGATTATTATTGACATTGTACTAAAGTGCCTCTGCGATCACAAGCATTAAATGTTTTCTATTTCCACTGTGCAACTTACTGTTTTTTTTCATGGCTTGTACCTGCCAAATGCAGGTCATTGTACTCTGGAACAATGTGACCTTTCATTCTGCATTGAAGCGCTAAGTCAAGATGTATTCCTGCTTTCTGACAAGGGTTGTTATGGCATCTTGACAGGACCGGCTGTCGGTTTGAAGGCCCGACTCAAAGATTGGCGGCAGCCGATTAGAGCATTTTCTCTGCAACTTGTGTCCTGAAGTCATGTCATCCACGGATGTCTGGATCTTGTTTTGAACCCATGTTAGGTTGCAGTGCAATTCATTATAATGGATCTTTCAGTTAAATGTTCACTGAAGAAATTCATTCAAAATCATAGTTAGGTAAGTGGGTTTTCAGACAAGGCTAGTCTTTAGTAATTGGCGGAAAATGGAATCACTTCATTATGGATTGGATAACACATCTGATGTATTATGTATTTTTTATGTATTTATTATTAATAATACATACTGTATTGTGTTAGGAAAGGAAAACTTTTGTGATTTTGCATAATAAGCTATAATCGCAGTAACTGCATTTGACTGGTATATTTTTCACCTGAGAGTGTTATCACTGGGTTGAATTCTGTTCCATTCAACAGCAAATATATGAGGGGAGCATACAAGTTCAATTGAAAAACATGTTCCTTTCCAGAGATTGCAGTGTGCAAGCTGTTTGTACATTCTATGCCTGATGTCTTGTGATCAATCTATGTGGACCAGACAGTCACCTTCTGTGCTGTGAAAGTCTATGATGTGCTTGAAGATTGCTTTAATTTAACTCTGGAAGAATCACTTTGTTCACCCTATAGTTGCTGAAAGGAGAATTTAGGTTTCTGGTTGAAGAGTTCATTTTCAAAATCACTTACACATTTCACTGGCTTTGAAATCACAGGACGCAATCATTCACTGAGAGGATAAACAGGATTTAACATGTACGAAAACATAGCACATTCAGTCTTGAAAATAAATGGTTATCAAAATACCACTTTCAAAAGAATTGTCCTTTTATAACAATAATAATAAAAATGTATGACGAATAACTCTCTGACATTCTATTTTACCAACTAAATATTAATGCAGTCTAATGATCAGTATACATTCTAAGCCAAATTACTTCCAAGTCATGTTTTAGTGATGTTTAGGTATTCAATAGATTTAATGTTGAGCTTAATTTGTGTCAAGTTTAAGCTATTCGTCATACTCATTGTTTATTTTGTCAACCGGAGTGAGTGACCAATTTTATCTGAGGGATTGTTGGCCAGGATACTGGGAGAAACTCCCTTCTCTTTTCAAATAGTGCCACAAGATCTTTGACGCAGGACCTCAAATTAATGTATCATCCAATGGACGGCACCTCCAACAATTCAACACACCACCAGCACTGCATCTTAGACTATGTGATTCCAGGCCCCGACATGGGGCCTTGAACCCACAATCTTCTTACTCAGAGGTGAGAGTGCTACCACAGTGCTAGGCTCACACATTTTGAGACCAGTCTGCCCACACTAACTAAGAGGCTGGAAGTAAGTGGCCTGTGCTCCCACACTGTAACTGGAAGACTACTTCTAATCCTATGACTGCATAATATATGCAACAAGTGATGTAATTAATGACACAAACTTACAGTTCATATTTGTAATAATTAGTCATTTATAATCACCCAAAGCAGCAACCTTTCCACATTTCCCTAATTAGTACATCTTCCCAAAGTGACGGGAGTTTAGATACATTGGAATTTATATATACTGTATTAAATAACGAACATAATTTTATTACAATTAGAAGAAGTAAAGTGGCAAGTAAAGCCGACTGCGTGTCTGTGACCTGCATATAATTCCGTCATATGAAACAAGCCAAAGTTAATTGCTGTTGAGCTGTTTTTCCTTCTCGGTGAGCAAATTGTTTTGTCAAATTCCTCCCATTTTAAGTTATATCCATCCCAGGACTTGGAGGCCTCTAGGTAAGTAGCGGCATATTAAAATAATTTTATGGTTCTTTACGGCTGTGGAAACTCAAACTGTGCTATTCAGCGGTTTAATATCCTATGAGTCCATAACTGCTTTATAATAGATGAAGAGGACATCAATGGGAGAATAATTTGAGGGGAATCATAAAGAAATCGAATGCTGAAAGTCATACTAGGACAACAGAACAACATTTACGCCATGTAAATTGTGATGATTTTTGCCAGGTCAACTCAACCTAAGCA